ATCTATCTATCTATCTATCTATATACATACATATAATTTTTCCCTTCCACTACCCTAATACTGACAAAGGTCTCATGAGTTACAAATATCTTTCCATGCAGGAATGTAAACAGTTCAACCTTAATAAGTCTCTTATGATTTCTCTTTCCTGTTTACTTCTTCATGTTCCACTTGAGTCTTGTGTTGGAAAGTCAGATTTTCTATTCAGCTCTGGTCTTTTCATCAAGAATGCTTGAAAGTCCTCTATTTCACTGAATGACCACTTTTTCCCTGAAGGATTATACTCAATTTTGCTGGGTAGGTGATTCTTGGTTGTAATCCTATCCCCTTTGCCCTCTGGAATATTATATCCCATGCCCTGTGGTCCTTTAACATAGAAGCTGCTAGATTTGTGTTATCCTGATTGTATTTCCACAATACTTGAATTGTTTCTTTCTGGCTGCTTGTAATATTTTCTCCTTGACCTGGGAACTCTGGAATTTGGCTACAATATTCCTAGGAGTTTTCCTTTGGGGATCTCTTTCAGGAGGAGATCGATGAATTCTTTCAATTTCTATTTTGCCCTCTGGTTCTAAAATATCAGGACAGTTTTCCTTGATAATTTCTTGAAAGATGATGTCTAGGCTCTTTTTTTGATCATGGCTTTCAGATAGTCCAATAATTTTTAAATTCTCTCTCCTGGATCTATTTTCCAGGTCAGTTGTTTTTCCAGTGAGATATTTCACATTGTTTTCTAATTTTTTCATTCTTTTGGATTTGTTTTACAGTGTCTTGATTTCTCATAAAGTCACTAGCTTCCAATTGCTCTATTCTAATTTTTAAGGAAGTATTTTCTTCAGTAATCTTTTGGACTTCCTTTTCCATTTGGCCAATTTTGCTTTTAAGGGCATTCTTCTCCTCATTGGCTTTTTGGACCTCTTTTGCCATTTGGGTTAGGCTATTTTTTAAGGTGTTGTTTTCTTCAGTATTTTTTTGGGTCTCCTTTAGCAAGCTGTTGACTTGTTTGTCATGATTTTCTTGCATCACTCTCATTTCTCTTCCCAGTTTTTCCTCTACTTCTCTTACTTGCTTCTCAAAATCCCTTTTGAGCTCTTCCATGGCCTGGGACTGATTCCTACTTTTCTTGGAGGCTTTGGATGTAGGAGCTTTGGCTTTGCAGTCTTCTTCTGGTTGTATGTTTTTATCTTCTTTGTCACTAAAGTAAGATAATATAGTCTGACTCTTTTTGCGAGGTTTGCTCATGATCCCAGCCAATTACTTGACTTTTAAACTCTTTGTTAAGGTAAGAGTCTGTTTCCAATGTGGAGAATGTACTGTCCCAAGCTTCGGGGGTTTGTACAACTGTTTTCAGAGATATTTCTAGGGCCCTGAAAAGTGTCAGTTCTTCCAAGGTGCTATGATTAGGGGCGAGGTGTCTCCTCTCCACCACCACCACAAGCTCCACCACACCAGCGCTCCTCCTCGCCCCAGGACCGCCCCTCAGAACTGTGACCCAGATCCAAGCATGGGCAAAGCAAGAGATTCCTGCCTCAGCACTGGTAAAGAGATCCTTGCAATCCCCCTCTGATCAGCCACTCGATTCCCCCTTGGTCTGTGGGCCAGAACCTCAGGAGGCAGCTGCTGCCTTGGGCTGCGCTCAGGAACTGGGGCTGAGACCTAGCTCCTTCTCTCACCGCAGTCACAGACTTTTCCTACTGACCTTCTAAGTTGTCTTTGGCGTTCGTGGGTTGAGAAGTCTGGAAACTGCCACAGCTGCCCTCGATTCAGTCCTCTGAGGCCTGCTCCAGGGTCGCTGTGGCCTGCACACCCACACCGCACTGTGCTCCTCTCCCAGCCCGGCGCGATATACCTTTCCGATCAACCATCCGGGCTGTCTTGGGCTGGAAACATGTTTCGCTCTGTGTTTTTGTGGGTTCTGCTGCTTTAGAATTTGTTTAGAGCCATTTTTTTTACAGGTATTTGGAGGGGTTTGGGGGAGAGCTCAAGCAAGTCACTGCTTTCCCTCCACCATCTTGGCTCCGCCCCCCCCATGCAGCATTTTCTAGACGTGCAGGGGCCTCTCTTGTTTTGCAGCATTTTCAGCTGACGTCAGATCACTTCTCCAGCACTCACAACTGGTACACATGCTCTCACGCCCGCCCCACCTTCTGCAATGTCTGCCGGGAAGCCCTCTCAGGGGTCACCTCCCACGGCCTGTCCTGCGAAGGTACTCAGTACCCGCCTGCTTGACTTGGGGGGCAGGGTGGGAAGGGCATCCCTGAGCAGTGCAGAAGTCATTCAGGGTGAAGGCCATTCCATCCAGCCTCTTCATCTTCCTCAGAAGTGAAGGCCGAAGCCTAAGGTCCCAGGGGCCAAAGGGGCAGAGCCAAGATCGGTGCTCAGTGCTGGCCTCCACATGCAGCTGAGGCAGGAGGTTGGGGGGTGGGGGGTACAGTCCCAGTCCCTGCAATACAAAATCCTTTCATTTTTTTGGCCTCTCACCAAGTAACTATGGATTTTATTCGCCTCCCTGAGGAGGTAAGGATCCTCCAGGTGAGGATGCTGGGGTCATAGCAGTTTGAATTGTACCTACCAGCAGCTGGGATGGGGGATGAAAGGGGAGGATGCCCCTCCTTTCCCACCTCTGTCCCCCACTCACACATTCTCTGGTTTCTCCCATAGTGTGTAAATTCAAAGTTCACAAACGGTGTGCTGTGCGAGCCAGCTCCACCTGCAAATGGACCACCCTGGCCACCATAGGCAATGAGATCATTGAGGACGAAGATGGAGTAAGTACAGATAGCAGCCATCCCACACGGGCTAGGCCCCTCCATATGGGGGAACAGCTAGCATGAGGCAGCCTAGGGCCAAGGCTGGGCCTCCCATGGCCTCCTTTTGTGCCTCAGTGGCCCATTGCCCTGCCTGTGGCCGCCATCTTGTCCCTAGCTCACCAACCTCCTCAGCCCAGAAGTAGGCCTCTAGCCACTGCCTTCTCCCTACCTTTGCCTGCTGTGCTTGGACTCTAGGGGAGCAGGGCCTTGTTGGAGGCCTGCCACTTTGGGGAGGTGGGTCCTTACCTCACATCCTCAGTTTTGTATTCTGTTTTTCCTGTGCAGGTGGCAATGCCCCATCAGTGGCTGGAAGGGAACCTGCCCGTCAATGCCCGCTGTGCCTCATGTGACCGTATGTGTGGCAGCGTCCGAAGGCTACAAGACTATAAATGTCTCTGGTGCAAGGCCATTGTAAGGCTCAATTTGATCCTCCTGGGGTCACTGATTGGGACAGGCTGGGTGGCCATGTGGCTGCAGAATGGCCTTTGGGCTCTTTGTACAAACCCCCATCCCCCCATCTCAATGTAGTTATCAAACTCGGGGTCAGAGGTCAAGTGTGAGAACTAGACGGGATGTTAGAGGCCTTCTGGCTCAATCCTCTCATTTTACAAGGGTAGAAACTGAGGCCCAGAGAAGTTGACTGTTCCACCCAAGGTCAGATAGCGAGTGGTAGAACCGGGATTCAAGGCCATGAAGCCAACAGTGTTTTCACTGCCCTCTGGATCAGGGTTTTCTAGATTGGACCTATGGGGAAAAGGCCGACACCTTCTTTCCTGCTGGTTCGGAGGCAAATGGCAGGTGAAAGTGGTAGCCTCTTCCCCAGAGTCCTCTTGGCAAACCATGGCCCTCCCTCAGCCACCGCCTGGGACCTCCCACCTTGGTCCCCTTGGACTTGGAGGCTTTCAGAAGCTTCCAGAGGAGGCAGTATCATTTACTAGCTAGACTGCTGGACAGAGTCAGCAAGACCTGAGTGCAAATCTTCAGTCACTCAGTCAACCTTCTTTAACCTTTAATCCTTCCTGGGTGCCCAGGTATATGACCCCAGGCAAGTCACTTGACCTCTCTAAGACTTAGTTTCCTTATCTGTAAAACGGGGATCATAATAGCACCTACCTCCCAGAGTCACTGTCAATGGAGGTAACAGTAAAGTGCTTTGTGAATGGTGAGGATGTCCTTGGAAGGGAGATTGGAAGACCCTTGAACCCAACTGCTCCCAGCACAAATCCCTCACCCTTCTCTGTGTGTGTGTGTGTGTGTGTGTGTGTGTCTCGATCTCTCTCCCTCTCCTCTCTCTCTATCTCTCTGTCTCTCCCTCCCTCCCTCTCTTCTCTCTATCACTCCCCTCTCCTCTCCCTCTCCCCTTCCCTCTTTCTCTGTCTCTCCCTCTCTGTTTCTGTCTCTCTGTCTGTCTCTGTCTCCCTCCCTCTTTTCTCTTTCTCTCCCCCTCTCCTCTCTCTCTGTCTGTCTCCACATCCCGTCTCTTTCTCTCTGTCTCTCTATCTTTGTCTCTGTTTCTCTGTCTCTGTCTCTCATCATTTTAGATTCATGGTACCTGCAGAGACCAATTTTCTAAGAAATGCCCCCTGGGACAGTACAGAGTATCTATTCTCCCACCAACAGTTCTGAACTGCATGGACTCAGATGGTGAGTAACCAAGAGGCCTCCCCTCCAACCAGGAAGGAACTGAAGGCCCGAGATATGGGGAGGGAGGTGCTTGGATGAGGGGCAGATGGCCCTCCCTGGCCTTCTAGTTAGAGCATGGAGTAAGTACCAAGAGCCCCCAAGGCCCCCAATATTGGCATTGATGTTGAAGAATTGCCTCAGTTTCCCTATAATTCTTGATTGAGAGGGCTGCGGGCACTTCTAGAAGTCTGACTAGAAGGAAGATGCCCTGGAAACCTCAGAAATATAAGAGAAACCAGAGTGACTCCTGAAGACCGCACTCCTCCCTCCCTCACTCAGAGGTTCTTGGCCCACCACTAACCAGGCAGGGTAAGGGAAGAAGGTGAATTTCACGGCACCTCCACAGAGTGGGGGAGCTCTGTGGACAATCATGCCTGGCAGAGCCTGAGCCCTGGTTCTCTCTGGCCCTCTGGCTGGGGGCAGCAGACTCAGTTCCCTTCTCAGCAGTCCCTGGAGCATTGTTTCTCACTTACCCGAGTTGGCTCTGGCCTTCACTGTTCCCAGACAGAAGAGCATATCAATGACTTTCTGCTAAACATGGGCTAATCCACAGGCTAATTCACTCTGTCTAGGGCGTCCTTCCAAAATCCGGGGTGATTGATTCTTTCCCTTGTTTAAGAAAGCTAAGTTTTGCCTGACTAGGTAAAGATCCAGAAAGCACAAGGGACTTGCCTGAAAACTTAAATGGAGTCTCTTTGAGATCGCCAGTGGTAAAAGCCAGACCGACCCCAAGCAACTATTTCCCAGGGAGGTGTCAGGTCAACAGCCTCATCCACAAACATTTAGTGAGCACCTGCTGTGTGTTGGGTCCTGGGGATGCCCAGATGTGCCAAGCCCAGGCTGTGCCTTATCAGAGTCAAGGGTCTAGCTGGGGAGAAAATTCAAATCCAGAAAGGTGCCCACCTGAATGAGATTAGGCTTTCCCAAGAGTCAAGTGAGCTCTACTGAATGAGAGGCTTCTGAGCACAAGGGCCTACCTAGATGAAGGCCTGCTTGAGTGAGCCTCACCTGGCAGGGCTATATGGGACATAGCAGGGATCAGCACAAAGGCTTCCCCTTCCCAAAGATAGGATGGAGACTGAGTAGCTTGGCAGTGATTCTTGTGATAAACATCGGCTTAGTCCTGGAGAACCGTTGAGTAAATTCCATGAGGTTTTCTTAAGTTCCTACTAAGTGCCCAGCACTGGGCTAAGCACTGAGGGGATACAAAGAAAGGCAAGTGACAATCCCTGCCCTCAAGGAGCACCCAGTCTAAGGGGGGGGAGATGACATGCAAACAACTAGGTACAAACGAGTCAACAGAGGAGGGGAGATTTTAGCTGGGACTGAAAGGAAGCCAGGAGGAAAACCACAACCCTGACCCTAAATGCTGTGACAGCTAGAGGGGAAATAAGGCAGCAGCCTGATGTGGAAGCCACAACCAAACCCAAATGGGCTCTCCCAGTGCAGGAATGAGCCTGAATGAGGAATGTGATGGCTTCTAGAACCTCCCCACAGGGGAGGTGGCCAGTCTGTAAGGGAGGCTCATTCATTCATTCATTCGTTCATTCATTCATTCATTCATTCATTCATAGTAGAGACTCTAGAGTAGGCCCAGATGGGCCTAGGCAGCCCCTGGAGATGCTGGGATTCTCTGCTGGATTAGAAAGGAGAGAGCCTGGAGGCAAATGCAGAGCTCCAGGTGAGACCCTCAGGGTCTGGCCTAGGGGCAAGAGAGAGAAAAAAGGGTACATTTGAGAAACAGAAAATGGAAGAAAAGATCTTGTGGCCTGGGGGGCCCATGCTGCAGATGAGAGCGCTCTTAACAGACAGAAGGGAGTCCCAAGGGGGAGCTAAAGCTAGGAAGTCTGCTTTGAGGCATGTAGCCTAGAGACCAGAGGTGTAGACTTGGGAATGGCCCTTGTAGACAGGCTATCTGGGACCCTAAGAGTAGATGGGATCTCTGGGGGACATACTGTATCTCACTGCAGAGGCCCAAGGGTGAAGGCTTCGGCCTTTGTGTAGGGGATGGAAGACCTGCAACACAGGAGGAGAAATCCAGGGGCTGGGAAGGGAGCAGAGCAAGAGTGTCCAGGAATTCAAGGGGGAGCAAAGTAGTGGACAGCAGCATCTAAGCTGGCCTGGAAGCTAAGGAGGCTGGGGCCTGAGGCAGGGCCAGCAGATCTGGCCTTTAGGAGCCTGTCAGGAATCTTGAAGGGAGCAGTTTCAATAGATTACTGTAGTTGGGAGAGAAGCCAGATCACCAGGGATGGAGAGAGTAAAGGCAACAAAAAGGAGAGAGACGGGGAAGGGGAAAGGAAGGGGACAGAGATCAAGAAAGGAGAGAGGGGGAGAGAGACAGAGTGAGAGAAAGGAAGGAGAGGAGATAGTGACAGAGAGAAATGGGGGAAGGAGAGAGACATAGAGAAGGGGGGAGAGACACAGAGGGAGAGAAAGGAAGGAGATAGTGACAGAGAGAAATGGGGGAAGGAGAGAGACATAGAGAAGGGGGGAGAGACACAGAGGGAGAGAAAGGAAGGGAAGGAGATAGAGTGACAGAAACAGAGGGGGGAGGGAGACGAGGAGGGGGAGGGAGACAGAGAGGGGGGGAGAGAGAAAGAATGGTATCTAGGGAAGAGACAAGGGTTCAAGGAAGACATTTTTATTTGTTTATTTTATTGTTTGTTATTATTATTTTATGATAGGAGAGCTGTGAACATGTTTGGAGATAGATGAGAAAGGGAGCCTGCAGGGGATGGTGATGGGGAGGGGGATGGTGAGGGGGAGGGGGATGGTGAGGGGGAGGGGGATGGTGATGGGGAGGGGGGATGATAGGAGAACTTCGGGAGGCTCTGATCCTCAGATTCTCAGGCTCAGTAGGCGGGTCTCAGCTTCCTAGGCTCTGTCAGTCCTGGGGCCCCGCCCTCCTGTTGCTCTCTGGCTCCATCTAGCCCTGCTGATCTCCACGTGCTCCCTTCTCTGCTTCCTTCTTTGCTCTCCACGGATCTTGTTGCTTCTGTCTTCTAGTTGTTCAGCTGTTCTTCCATTACTCATGGGGGGGGGGGGGAGAAACTCAGTTAACAAGACCAGAAGTACCTGATAAAGCCCCCTAAAAATAGTAGTGGGGTTTTTTTAATTACTGTTATTTTAAAGCCATCTAGTTGCCACTGACATGCCAGGACCAAGCTAAAGCCAGAATCCCACGCCCTGGTGAATTTCATTCCACGCGTGGTCAGTTTCACTTTCCCTGCCCACATGTTTCTCTGTCTATTCTCCAATATTCTATTCTAGCCAGCTCTGCCACACAGGATTCCCATGGGGAGAGCCTAGCTCTTTGACTCAGAAATCACCCTCTCTCCACTGAGGCTCGCTGCCCAGCTAGGACCCAAGTGCGTCTGCTCCCCACAATAATGGTCCGTGGCAGAGGACAGAGGAGAGAAATATACAGAGGTGGCCTCTTCCCCTTATATCAGAGGCCAGAAAGGAGCAGGGATTCCAGCAGACCCCAAAACCCAGCATGAGGGGTATTAGCACAGAGAACACGCACACCGAACATTCACTGGCAGGCAGGCCCCCTTCTCACACCTGCTCTAAACCCCCTGGATGCATCCATATGCAGAGCTGCCTACTCACATAATACACATAACCCCAGAAGCACCCCCACAGCCCTGAGCACATAGAGGCACATACATAGAGATGTACACACACAGATGTAGTAACACATAGATGGATGGAGAAATTCGTCCACAAAACGCTCCTCCTAGGTCCAGCTCACAATTCTCCCCACCCACACAGACACCGGGAAGCCCGCCATTGGGTGTCTAGCTTCATTCCCCTCCTCCAAGGGCCCACTCAGCTGTCCATGGTGCTGGAGTCTGAGCAGCAAGCTCCGGAGCACCTCCTCCGCCGTGGATCCGATCTGGGAAGTGGGCAAGACAGCTACTAGGACTGGGTGGCTGGGTGGTTGGGTGACTGGGTGGCTGGAAGGGTGGACAGGACTGAGTGCCAAGAGAAGATTCTTTCCTTATCTCCTGTTGAACCTTAGAGAGGAGATGAGCCCTCGGAGCTTTCCTAAGCTAAGAGCTGGGTCTTCCTGCCTTGCCCCTCGGCCCGCTTCTGCCACCCCCAGGACCACGAGGCCCTGCTTCTGCCTTGCCCCCAAAGGGCTCTGATTTGAGCCTTTCCTGATAAATATGAGCAGACAGTGAATTACACCCTGCACACAGCGGGCCATTCTGTAGCTGGTGGCCCTGTCTAATGATGGGGTTCCAGGCTCTCTAGAAGTGGGGTGGGGGAACCTGGCTCTGAAAAGAGACTCCTGCTTATGGCTCCTTGCATCCCCCCAGGCCTCTGCCACTTGCAAATACAGCCCTGCTGGCTGCCAACAGCATTCCCCGATCTTTTGCAGCAGTCAGTGCCTTTCCTCCACAGTTGTGGCCATATCAGCCCTGCCAGGCCTTTGGCCCGCTCCTCTGTTTCATACCAGCTGGTTTTCCCTTCTTTCTCTTTCTTGCATTCTTTCCTATTCTGCTTTTTGGTTGTCAGGGCCCAGCAGCACCATCGAGTCTCTCCTCATTTGCCACTCTGTCACCTCTTTTGCCCAATTTTCTCCTCCAGCCCCCTTCCCCCAGACTGCCCTCCAGGAGGTAGAGTCAGCACCAGCAGGGCCCCTCTCAAAGGCTGCCTTCCCTACAGCTCTGGCAATGGCTGTCACCTGCCTTAGGCTGCCCTGGGCCTGGGCCTGGGGGCTGGGCAGTGGTGGCTGCTTGACTTACTGATTCCAGCCAAGTTGCCAAGTCTTTGTTAGGCACCTAATCTTGTCAAAGTCCCGTGCTTAGCATTAGCACCTACAAACACAGGCAAGAAGCATTTATTAAGCGCCTACTACAGTGCCAGGCACTGGGCTAAGCTCTGGGGTTATAAAGAAAGACAAAAGACAGTCCCTGCCCTCAAGGAGCTCATAGTCTAACAAACAAATATGTGCAAATAGGTTATGTGCAGGATGAATAATTAGCAGAGGAAAGGCCTGAGGATGAAGAGGTGGGAAAGGCTTCCTGTAGAAAGTGAGATCTTAGCTGGCAGAGACCAGGCAGAACCAGCAAGAATGCCCGGAGTGGAGAGATGGAGTGTCTTGTCTTGTTTGGGGTACTGCCAGGAGGCCACTGGTCCTGGATTTCAGATTACATGGGTTGGGGGTGGGGGGAGTATAAGATGCAAGAAGACTGGAAGGGAGGGAGGGTCCTAGGTTATAAAGGTCTTTGAATGCCAGACAGAAGATTTTGTATTTGATCTTGAAGATACTAAGGAGTCACTGAAGTTTACTGAGTAGGAGATGATAGGGTCAGACCTTTAGGGAAATCACTTGGTAGCTGAGTGGAGGATAGACTGGAATAGGGAGAGACTTGGGGCAGGCAGACATCCCCCTTCCCCAGTAGCTCCTGCTATAGTCCAGGCATGAGGAGATGAGGGTCTGCATCAGGACGGTGGCTGTTTCAGAGGAGAAGAGGGGGCCTAGTCGAGAAAGATTGCAAAAGTGAAATCAACAGGCCTTGGCAACAGATTGGATATGTTGGGTGAGACACGGGAGTCAAGGATGACACCTAGGTTATAGGGCTGGGCCCTTGGGAGGATGATGGTACTCTAGACAGTAACAGGAAAGGTTGGAAAGGGGAGAGATGATGAGTTCTGTTTTGAATATGTTGAGTTTAAGATGTCTACTGAACTTCCACTTCGAGAGATTAGGGCGGGATAGGTCAATTTGAGAATCATCAGCATAGAGATGGTCATTAAATCCATGGGAGCTGAGGAGATCACCCAGTGAAATAGCATAGAGGGAGAAGAGAAGGGGGCCCAGGGTAGAGACTGTGGGATACTTGAGGTTAGTGGGCATCACCTGGATGAAGGAATCTGAGAAGGAACAGTCTGATAGAAAGAGATCCAGGGGAGAGTGGGGTCCAGAAAACCTAGCAGGGAGACAATATCGAGAAGAGGGTGGTCCTTAGGGTCAGAGGCTTGCAGGAGGGTCGAGATGGATGAGGATTGAGAGCAGGCTGTTGGATTGGGCAGTAGAGAGATCATTGGCAGCTTTGGAGAGGACGGTCTTGGTGGAATGAGAAGCTGAGTCACAAGCCAGTTTGGGAAGGTTAAGTATAGAGAAGAGAGAAAGTAAAGGCACCCAGTGTAGACAGCCTTTTCAAAGAGGTCAACCACAAAAGGCAGAAGAGCCAGGGGATAATAAACTACAGGGGATGGAAGGAATCAAGTAATGACTTTTTTTTTATTTTGTGGATGGGGAAGCGTAGGCATGTTTGTAGGCATCAGGAAAATGGATGGGGGACAGCAGCCCAGCCTCCCCCTCCTACGGGACTTCCTGCTTCCTCTAAGAATCAGAAAGGTCCTCCTTGTAATAAGTGGAGTTCTGGTTCCCATATGCTCACCTCTGCTCCTGGTTCTTCCCAGAGGGGCCAAGCAGAACAAAGGGGCTCCCTCTTCCATAGAACAGCCCCTCAAATGGCCCACCCCACCCCCAAGTCTTCCCTTCTCCAGGCTAAAGATTCCCAGTCCTTCCTGTGTTCCTCACATGACTGTAGTAAGACCTGCCTCCCATCAAAGTCTAAGCGCCTACACTGGCCAGAGTACAGTGGGATCATTCCATAGTTAGATGATCTGGACATAGGTATCAATGGAAGTGAAGATCGCGTTGACTTTTTTTAAGCAGTTGAATCCTATAGTTGAGTCCTGTGGAGTCTGTGGTCCACTAAACCCTTCAGCCTTTTTTTCAATCCAAATCTCTCCCAGCCTATCCTTGTGCATTTGATGTTGGTGGGTTTTGGGTTGTTTTTTGTTTTTCAAACCAAAATGCAGGACCCATTGGCTTTGGCTAAGCGTTGCAGGCTCTCAAAATCACTTTGGGTCCAATCTCACCCAGTATTTTAATGCTCCTCTCCAGCCTTGTAGCATATACAGATTTGATCAGTATATCTTACAAGTTTTCTAAGTCAATTCTAACTCTGTATGCTAAGAGGAGAAACATTCCAGATTTAATAAAGCCTACGTGAAAGAATGGAGCCAGGAAAACCCAGGCCTCATTTGGGAGATCAAAAGTTGCCCATTTTCCCTGATTCATAGAGTACATGGGGGAGAGCAGTGGGAGATCGAGGCTGGAAGGGCAGGCTGACCCTGGATTGGAGGAGACAGGGGAAGTGAGAAGGCTTGTTATCAGTGGAGTGGGGTGGTGGTGGGGTGCTTGGAGCAGCAGTGATTGATGGAGCAGATCCTTGAGGAGGTAGGAAGGCACCAGGAGAGTAGACTGAGGCAAGGGTAGAGCCGCCTTGCCCTCTGAGGCTGAAAGGAAGGAGGAGGAAAGAGCAACAAGGATTCTGGGAGCAGCTTGAATAGATGAGTTCTGTCCCTGACTGAGTTCTCAGCGGAGGAGGAGGAGGATTAATCGTCAGTAAGTAAGTAGATGACAGGTATAAACCAAGTGTGTGACAAGGAGGGAGAAGTCATCGTACTAGGGGAGGTCCAGGAGGAGATGGCACGTGAGGGGGGCCTTAAAAGAATGGTCAGGATTTCAACAAGGGCATTCTAAGTATAGGGAAGAGCATGAGCAAAGGTGTAGCGGTGGGAAAGCATGGCGCAGAAGCCAGGAGCTGGGAATAGTCTAGTTTGGCAGGTGTGTGAGCATGTGGAAGACAGGCGGGGGTGGGGGGGAGGAAGAAGGAAGAGAATGACAATGACAGTAAGCTTTGCCGGGCTTTCTCACTGTAACTCCTGTCTTGCCCTCGACCTCCCATGGCCATCTGAGGCACTTTCATCCATTTTTCTTCTGGCATTTTGGCCTCCCCTGCCCCTTCAGCCTTTTGTGGTAGAGCTCTGGATGGGCTTACAAACTGCGCAGGGCAAGTGAGGGGCTGGATTTCTGGTGTTTGGACTTCTTTCTGGCATGGAATCCCTCTGGCCCTGTCCGAGAGGGATCCCCCAGGGAACCCTTCTTTTATGACTCCTGGGCCTCCTTCCTGGCCCCCTGGGCCACTGCCTCCAGCAGCAGCCCTCAGAAAACATCTCTGGCGTCAGGAGCAGCCAGGCTTTGGTTAGGCTGCCAACACTTTGCCTGTGAGTCTGAGGACTGGCATCAGTCACTAGGGCCGAAGCCCCGGGGCATGGCTGTGTCATGTGGCGATTGGGCCCGAGGAGTCTTGCCTGCCCCCTCCATGCCTGTTTGGGGACGTTTCAGGAGCTGACATGCTGCGGCCCGGCGGAGGCGAGTGGTGCCTGGCTTCTCGCTCACCTGTCACCCGCTCTTGGCGGCCCCCTAGATCAGGACTTTTGGTTTTTCCAGGGTTCTGGAAGGCTTCTTGCCCAGGTGCCTGCTCCAGCCCTCTGCTTGCTTTCGTCAATTCCAAGAGTGGTGACAACCAAGGTGTGCGCTTCCTCCGGAAATTCAAACAGTTCCTGAACCCAGCACAAGTGTTTGACCTGATGAATGGGGGGCCTCACCTGGGGTAAGTGAGCTCAGCCATGGGAGAAAGCCTTCCCTTCTCTGGGCATTCCCATCTGGAGCTCTTGGCCTCTGCCCTTTGCTCATAACGTCACAGCTCTAATAAAGCTAGAAGGGGCCTTCAAGATCGTCCAGGCCAATCCCCTCATTTTACAGATTGGGAGACTGAGGGCTAGGGAAGTGACTTGCCCAAGGTCACCTAGCTAGTTAACAGCAGAAGCAGGATATGAGCCCAGGTCTTCTCACTCCTTAGAAGTCACTGAATCCAATGGCCTCATTGGACAGAGAAGGAAACCGAGGCTCAGAGAAGGGAAGGAGTTTGTCCAGGGTCACTCAGAAGCAAAAGATGAGCCCGAGTCCTTTGGCACCAAGGCCCACAAGCTGCCTACCAGGAGACAGGCCCAGGGCTATTCTGCTGAAGAACCTCATAGAGATTTCCAGAGTTCTTTCTCCTCTCCCCTGCCCATACCCCTGCCCCTGGCACTCCTAATGGACGTTACAGGTGGCTTCCCAGTCTAGTCCAGATTCTGATGTCCCCAGCCGACAGCCCTGGGCCATACCAAAGCTGGGTCCTGGGCCCTTTGCCCCCACTTCCTGGGAAAAATGTCCTTGTTAGGAAAAGAGTGGGGCTGTCACAGTTTACTGGTGAGGATGCCTAGGGGCAGTGCTGCAATGGAACAGGGAAGGTGTGGCCCCTCAGGCACCCAGAGGCCTGGCAAACTAGAAACCAGGGTTGGCCAGGCTGCCAGTGGGCCCTGAGTTCACATACTGCCTACTGCCCCCTCCCTGTGCCCCTGTAAGTGGAAGCTGTCTTCAGTCTGATACTTCTGGTGGCTGAGGGCCCACCCTCGTTTGAGGGCCCACTGAGCTTATCTGAGGCAGAGTCGGTGTGGGATAATGGACAGTCACTCAAGATTTCGCACAGGTGGGAGAGCTGGCTTTTGTCAGAAAACTCTGCCTTAGGCACTTCCTGTCTCTGAACCTCAGTTTCCTCTTCTGTAAAATGGGAGTAATAATGGTGCCTACCTCCCAGCTTGGTTGTGTGACATGCCACGCAAATCTCAAAGTGCCCTCTCTCATCGTCAGCATCAGCCCGTATAGGACAAGACCACTCACCATCTTTCTCCCCCTCCTCCAACTCCCCATTACCAAGCTGGTATTGATCTGGCCCTGACCACTGGCACTGCCTCTGCTGCCACTCTAGACAAAGCCCCTGGTGGGGAGGGAGCCTGCCTCCTGCTCCTCATCTGAGCTTCTCTTCTTGTCCTCGCCCCCCTGCTAGGCTCCGTCTGTTCCAGAGGTTTTCCACCTTCCGGATTCTGGTATGCGGTGGAGATGGCAGCGTGGGCTGGGTTCTTTCTGAAATTGACACTCTTGGATTACACAAACAGGTGAGTATGGGCACAGTGCCCACCGCCTTTCTGAAAAGGCTGGCGGATCAGTGTTCTTTGTTCCCAGTCAGCGAGGGGCAAGCCTGAGCTTGGCTGTCAGAACCTCTGCCTAGGCCCCTTGGGACTCAGTAGTGCTACCAATTGGCTTAGGTTTAGGAAGTAGATGTTTTCACCTTGCTGGCTTGTTTCCTGCCACTGAAACTGGCCTCCTGCTTTTATCTCATGCTAACATAAGCATGTGCGTTCTCACCTTGGGCCCACAGCTGGTCCCTTGCCTGGTCAACCAAATGTGGGCATGAGAAGGCAAGGAGTTGGCAGGAGAGCCAAACAGTAGCCCTCTCACCTTTACCTCCAGGAAAAGAGTCCCGGGGGTGGGGGGGAACCTGAGGGACAAAAAGGTAGAGAAGCTCCAGAGGAAATGGCTCCTGGGGATAGCAAGCCTGCACTCTCACCCCAGTCACTGAGCCTGAGCCAGACTGTGGCATGTGCTACTGAGATAGCCAGACTGTCTGCTTACCAGCCATCCATCCATCCACCCATCCATCCATCCATCCATCCATCCATCCATCCATCCATCCTTCTATCCTTCCATCCATCCATCCATCCTTCCTTCCTTCCTTCCATCCATCCATCCATCCATCCATCCATCCATCCTTCTATCCTTCCATCCATCCATCCAGCCTTCCTTCCATCCATCCATCCATTCATCCATCCATCCATCCACCCTGCAAGAAACACTTATTCAGTAACATCGGTGCATGGGATGGTACATTAAATATAGGAGAGGCAGAGACAGAAACGAATGTCCCCTCCCTTCAGTGAGCGAGAGCACCCTCCTCGGAGGGTGAGGCTGGAGGGCCACCTGCACAACGAGTTTCCTTTACGCTGCAGTGCCAGCTTGGGGTCCTGCCCCTGGGAACTGGCAACGACCTGGCCCGCGTGCTCGGCTGGGGAAGCCTGTGTGATGACGATACTCAGCTCCTGCAGATTCTGGAGAAGATGGAGCGGGCCACCACCAAGATGCTGGACAGGTACACAGCAGCGCCCGCCCCATCCCTCCTTAGAGCATGGGTGGCTGCCTACTCTCCTTCCCATCAGGGGCCATACCCCAGTAAGCCCCTTGCTTCCCTAAGAGGCCAGGCTGAGTGGCCACATTGTGGGGAGGCAGGGGCTGCCACATACCCTCGAAACTGGACCAAAGTCTCTCCTCTAAACCACATCCCATGGACCCTGAGAGATTCTAGATCATCTCTGCTCCTGAGTTCCTGGGAGGAAAAAGGAGCCTCACTAGGACCCTGGGGCGCAAGAGGCAGTGGGCGACTTTTGGCTTAAGCTCAGGAGCAGTGGTGGGGATGGGAAGAGATGGGGAGAGGCTAAAAGAGCCTCCTTGCCTCTGCTGCCTCTGAAAATTCATCAGCATTGAAATAGTGGTGCCCCTTTTCCTTCAGGAGCAGAGAGAGATGAAGGGAGCCCTGGCCAGGGCTAGTGTCTAATGGGACCACTAATGGGGTCACTCAACCAGCTGAGACCCCTCCCCCCATCCCCAGTCCTGCCCCATTCCTTACACTTCCCTTTTACCACTTGTGGAATTAATGGCCAGGGCCTCGACACTGGAGAGCTGACAGATATCTCATGTCCCTCCCAGGCCCACTGGATTGTGGGAGATGGGCCTGGCCATGTCCAGAAGACTGCCCAGGCATGTGGCCCTACTCCATCCCCAGCAAACTAATCCATTGACAAAGTAAAGGGCCGTGCACACTTGGCCAGTCTCTTTCCACACTTGGCATGGCACTTGGGCTTCCCAGGCAGATCTGGGACACAGCAGTGCCCCAAAGGCCTATTTCTGCCTTCCTTTCAGGTGGAGTGTCCTGACCTGGGAGGCTCCTGGAGGAGTGCTCACACGGAGGGCTGGACAGGTGAGAGCTCAGTGCTATGGCCCCTCTTTATTTGAGGGGGGCAAGAGCAGAGCCCAGAAAGGAAGGTTGGAGGGAGCATGACTATGGCTACTGTCTCCAGGGAGCCAGCCTGCATGGCCATGACCACTGGGACGGAGACCACGCTCTGCCTCCTGAGCTGAGCAGGCCCCAAAGCCTTCTTCATTCTAAAGCCACCACGGAAAGAGCTTCTGAGAATTGTTTTGCCTTCCTTTTTTCTTGGGGGGTGGGGGTGGGGGGCAGTGGGGCTATTGCATATTAGCATGTCCCCACCGATCCAAGACCCAAAAGAAATCAGACCTGGCATAAAAGAAACCAGGAAGCAGGCCTCAAAGAAATCAATGATTAAACTCCATCTTCCTCTGTGTTACCTCCCAGAGGCAATTGTCCTAGGAATCTGGCTCTGAGGGAATGCCCCCAGCCCCAGGTAGCTTTGGGTCCTTCGAGGCTGGCCCAGGAGGCAGGGCTGGGGGGCAGCCTTGGCTTTGAGATGTAGTGATAATGGGCTTGGGGGAAGGAGGGGGCTGCTGCAAGGGCAGCCCCAGCTGGTGACCCAAGCATGGTGAACCACTTGGGGCATGGGGGGGGGAGGGAGGCGGAATGGGCAACTCCGGTCACCTGGCGACCATGCCACCATGGGGTATTGTGGGTGGGCAGAGAAAGGGAGCAAGGACGCCAATCATCCTGCGGTGAGGATTGTGGCCATCTCAGAGGTCATCTGGGCCAATGCCCGCATTTTACAGAAAAGGAAACTGAGGCCCAGGGCATTTGGTGTGAGAGATGTTAGAGTGTTAGAGATAGAAGGGCCCTCAGAAGCGATCTAGTACAGCCCTTCCCTCATGTTATGGGTGAATACAAGGGACTTATCCAAGGTCACACAGCTAGAAAGTGGCAGAGCTAGGATCTGTGCCCAAGTCCTCTGACTCCCAATCCAGCAATACATAAGATTCTAATCTCAGCTTTGCTCTGAACTATGCATGTGGCTTGGGGGAGGTCTTTTCCCCTCTGGGGGCCTCAGTTTCCTCCTCTGTCAAATGAGGGAATCAGACTAGATGATCCCTAAGTGAGGACATTCTTGCCAGCCCAGAGCGGCCCAGCAGGACGCAAGGGCACTAGAAAGCAGCGCTGCCTGCCCACGGGCCTGTGGGGTGCCCAAATATGCACATTCTCTGCAGCCTGATGCATGGAGCATGCATGTGCCTGGGTGTGTTTGCATGTGCATACACATGTGTGCACATCTGCCTGGTAGATGAAGGCACATGTGTATATGCTGGATTACATGCCTGGGCCTGCTATGAATTGGTCATCTGTGTTATGCCCCTGACGAACATGTATATATCCGTGTTCTGAGCTCACTCATTGCACAGGTGTGACTGCTATACCAAAACACATCAACAAGTTTACATATATGTGAGTTTCCATACATGTACACAACAAGCCCACTTCCAGCAGACCCCCTCCCCCATACACACGCGCACACATTATTGTAGTCACAAACACGTACACCCACACGTACAGCTGGAGCCTCTTCCAGACAGCCTGCTAACATCCCCCCGATTCCTGCTTCTCTTTTTGGGGTAAGAGATGGCCTCTGTCTCCACTGGAATGCAGATGGAGGCCAGAGAAAGACCAGTGTGAGCGCATTTAGGAGATGTCTTCCTTTGGAAGAGGGAATCAGGGTCCAGGGCCGGGTGGCGGGGGGAGGCAGGCAGCACGAAGCTGGAGGTGGCTGGCAGTGAGGACCTGCCTCCCTCCCTCCCTCCCAGATCAGACTGCTGAGACAGTGGCGTACTGAACTCGACCTCGGCGGGGAGGCGGCAGATTGTGGGGATCTTGCCATGGGTGGGGCGTGGGGGGAGGGAGGGAGAGAGGATGAAGGAAAGGGGGCTCGCCTGTCTGGGAAGTTACCAGACCAGTTGCCCCTTCCCAGCAGGTGAAGGGAGCATGGAGCAGCAGCAGGGCTGGGGTCACCGATGGCGGTCTCCTTTGTCCCCTAGGGCCCTACGGGGCAGTACATGGATTCAGTGGCCTCCTACCTGGCCAAGCTCCTCGGCTCAGACGAGCACTCAGTGGCATCGATTCTGCCAGGTCAGACCTGCCCACAGATTGCCCTCCTGAGAATACCCTGCTATGGACAGGCTCTCAGGCAGCCTGCAGGCCTGGAGAAAGAAGGAGGGAAGGGAGGACGGAGGGAAAAGGGCTAGTCTCCTGCTGAGTTCCTGCCCCTGTGCCCAGCTCAGAGGGAATGGCCACTTGCCTTCCTAAGTAAGACTTGCTGATGACCGCAGGCTAAGGGTAGCCTTAGATGGGTAAGAGAGAGCCATAGGATTCTGGTGGAGGCCAGCTCCCTTGTCAAGGATGAGGCTGATGAGGCTGGCAGTGACATCGCCCCAGGATGCTGTGCCATCTGTCTCAGCCAGCCAGGTTCTGGGCGGCACCATCGATGAATTTGTGGTCAAAGTTGGCAAAGCCCATGAGAAAATCACAAAGAATGCACAGGAGACAGAAGCCATAGCCAGGGAAGGAAGGCCCCTGCCTTGCCTTGCCACCTCCAGCTGGCTGGCCCTGCTACCTGGTGAGGTTGGCGCTGCAGAGCCGCATGGGGGCTGGCCAGCTGGCCTCCCCCATCCCCCGCACAGTCAGGGAGAACAAGCCTCCTGGCTTCTAGGGCTCAGAGGAGATGTCAGCTCACCCTGTCAAGGCTGGGCCACACCCTATCATGCTCAGGATGGCAACTGAAGCGGGCTTGCTGCCAACACATACATGTGCAGTCATGTGTACGCACACCCACAATGATTCTACATGTCTACACACGGTCAGGTGTTACATGCAACAGGCATACACATGTGTACCAGTATGGCAGATACCCTTGCACACACTCTCCAGCAGACACAGACATACACACACCAGATATGGACTCTCATGAAGAAAGGACTTTTGTATGTATGCAGGCATACCAACTGCACATACTCCACACCCATGAACACCAGACTTCTACTTGCATGTAGGCAAGAGGCTTGCACTCTCATTGGCACACCAGAAATATGTGCACACACGCACCTGTATAGTGAGGCAAGATCCTCAGGGCTTGTACTGGGCTGGAGCATTGGACTGAATCTAGTAAGATGAAATTCACAAGGAATAAATGTCAAGTCCTGCATCAGGGTCCAAAAAGCCAACCTTCCACGTATAATATGGGGAAGGCATGGATACAAAAGGAATGAGGGGTGTCAATGGACCGCCAACTCAGTGTGAGACAGCAGCCAAAAGAGCTACCGCCGTCTTGGGCTACATTAGAAAGGGGAGAGCTTCTGGACCCAGGGAGGCAATTGTCCCACTGACCTGTGCCCTCCTCAGACCTCCCTTGAGCACTGGCTCAGTTCTGGGTATCATGGTTTAAGAAGGACACTGCTAAGCTGGACGGTGTCCTGGGGAGGGCAGCCAGGATGGGGGAGGGCCCTGAGTCCATGTACTTTGAGGATGGATCAAAGGAATTGGGCATGTTTTTCCAAGAGAAGATGAGACCGTGGACGGATTAGATGTGTTATCTTTGGTCCCAGAGGGAAAAACCAGGAGCTGTGGTGGGAAGTTGAAGGGAGGCTCATTTTGACTTGAGACCAGGACAAACATCCTACCAAGCAGAGTCGCCCCAGAGTGGAAGGGGCTGCCTCGACAGGTGATAAGTTCCCTGTCGTTGGAAGTCTCCAAGCAGAGGCTAGATGGCCCCTTGTCAGATATGTTACAGTGGGGATGGATTGCTTTAGCAGATGGGTTGGCCTCGGAGGCCCTGGCACCCTTACGCCAGACACCCCCACATAAAGCACTGGGTACATGTGTGTGATGGGTATGTGGACACACATGGTACACGTGTGTGCTTGTCTATACTATCACACATCACAATGCACATCAAGTATCTTTGTTGTACAGGTCTACCCCATGGCCATGTTCAAAGCATGTTCCCTGACATAGACATGTAGGTATAGCATTCACGTGTGTTAATCTATCTGTCAGACACTATGCAGCACACACTTGCATGCAGATGTATGTGCATACATCCATGTGCATGTGTGTGTAGCTCAGACTTGTGTCCATGCATTCAGCTCCACGGTGACACACAGTATCGGACATCTGGGTCCACCGTGTCCTAGCTAACATCACAGGAGAGTGCCGCCTATACACGTGTACCTCAGATACATGCACACACATTCCTGATGCACACAGCCATATCCAATACATGCATATGCATCTGTGTATTGTATACCAGCACACATGTGCACATGGGTACATAGGCCAGACATACATATAGCAAGCATGCACACATGTGTTCACTACATACTAGTCACATGTACGTGTATGTACACCTATGTCAGGTACGCACACAAAATCGATCCCCGAGGCAACACGCCTCTTGTACATCAGTGCCGTGTCCACACTGCATGTCCATACCCCTGCATGCCAGCCACGTACTCGTGCAAACACATACTTGGTGTTTTTCACACCAATAAAGACAGGCCGACGTGTTTCTGTCCATTGCTGGCGCTATGCAGCAGAGGATGCAGGGGGACTGGCTTGGCTCTGGCTGCTCCCTCCTCCTCCTCTTCCTTTTCTTCATCTTCCTCTAGCTCTCTCTGTCCCTCTCGCTGTCTCTGTGTGTCTCTCTCTGTCCCTGTGTCTCCGTGTGTGTTGTCTCTCCCTTCCTCTCTCCTTCCTTTCTTTTCTTTTCCCTGGCTCAGACTTTGGACTCTCTTTTGCACTGAGCTCTTTTATCTGCGGCTCCCTCAAAGGCTCATTTCCATCCCCCTGGCCTCCCCAGACCTATGGCGCTCTGCGGGTCGCTATCTGATGGGCTATGTTCCTGTCTGTTTTAGTGTACCCCGGTGAGCAACAGAACAGATATGCTGATTCGGGAGCTGGAGATGGAGCCCCAGGCCGCTATGGGCTACCTGGAGAACACCCCGCTGGCTGCTCCAGCCGCAGAGGGAGAAGATGAGGGCGATGAAGATGACTTTGAAGGGGGAGCGGTGGGTGGCGCCCCTGCAGAGGTGTGCCAGCCCTCTAGCTTGGTGCCCCCAGCCTTCAGATCCAAGGATCAGATGGTGCTGCGAGCTAACAGCTTGAAAAAGGCCTTAAGGCAGATCATTGAGCAGGCAGAGCAAGGTAAGGGGGCCAGGATAGAACTGAAGCCCAGATGATGGGAGTGGGGGAAGGACAGAAGGTTGTCCCACTTGACCATCTCTCCTGTACCTCCCTGTTGGGTAAAAGCACTGACCCAGAGCCCAAAGAGGCCAGGAGCTGTCCCCTCCTGTGGGAGCCAGGCTGGCCCCAAGCTCCTCCCAGGCACCCATCATCAAACCCTTGCTGCACCTTGTGACTGGCATCCTCAGTCATGAGAGCTGCCTGGGAGCCCTGACATCCTCTACCACCAGTCATTGATTTTGGTTTTCTCATCTTATCCTCTTAACTACCTTCTCCTGACCATCAAAAATGAGACTACTAATCTCCCCAGAGAAGATGGTGCTCAGCTTCAGCCCTTCCCTAATTTGACTAGCCAGGAGGGCAGTGAGGCTCCTAGGAGTAGCTTTCCTGGCAGGATGCAGCGTGGCCACCAGCCCCACTGGGGCTCTGGGCCATGGACCAAACCTTTCCCTCTTCCCAGCCCCATCCTAAAGGTCCCTCAGCTGCCAAGTCTGTTGTCCTCTCTCTGAAGCTATTGGGAAAACAGGTCAGAAGATGGAGTAGGCCAAGGGTCAGTGATTCCATGTGTGAACAGGAAGGCCTCGTAGGCCCTTTGGCTGCTTGTTGGCACCTCTGGGGAAGCCCCCCAGCTGGCCCCGCTGTCTTGGTGGGGGGGGGGTTGAGAGCAAACTCCCTTTGTACATTGTGTGGCCCTGGTGCTCAGCGGCAGAGAGGATTTTCGTGTGGTAGCCAGGCCCTCCTTGGGCCCAGCAGCCAGTTGGCCAAGGTTAGTGCTATGCCCTATGGCTGGGTGGGGAAAGCAGAACACCTTGATCTTGGTGAGGCCTGAGCCTCCTTGGTACCAACTGAGCTACTCAGGGGCACAGTCAGAGGGAGGACTCCCATGGTGCAGAGGGGCAGTCAGGGCACAGAGTGGAGAAAGGGAGAGGTCCGAGCCCGGCCCAGGCTTGGGACACAGCTCGGTGGATTGTTAGTGTGTCAGGCACTTAACAGATGCTTGTGAACCCATGACTCTTGCACAGTTTGTGTACAAAAAGTTGTTGAAATTATCCGTGTGTGAACAAATAAGGAGAGAAGAGCAGAGGGCCCAGGACTCGGCGTTCAGGGCCCTCGCCCCACCTCAAGTTGGGCGAGGAGGCTCCTCAGGGCTAGGCAGCCACCTGGGAGATGAGAGGGACAAAGCCTGGCTCAGACTGGCAGCCAGGCCCGGAGACCCCCAAACCTGAATGCAGCAGGTTCCCATCGTGCCCTCTCCCTGCTTCTGCGTAGCGGCTGACGAGCCAAACAAGCCGACCCAAGCATGTCTGAGCCCAGATTTGGCTTCTCTTGAGGACAGCAGTTCAGAGGAAATCAGCCAGGGGTCCAAAAGGCTCAGTAAGGGCCGGGCCCTGCCCCACCCCAGCCTTTTTCTCTTTTCTTGCTCACCCTGGGCCCAAGTCCCAGTGCTCAGGCTTCCAGAGGAAGAAGGTGAAAGTTCATCCAGCATTCTTCTCAGCACCCCACTGTTCACTTACCATTCCCTTCCCCCTTTTTGGAGACATTGTGTCATGAGATACCACCACCTTGGCCTGAGAAGGGGCTTGGGGCCACTAGGGAACCCTGGCAGCCACTGGGAAGAGACCAGATGTGAACCTCTTGCCTGGTCCATCTGTTTATTCATATCAGCTGACAGTTTAGCCGCAGACAGGAGGACTGCCTTGGCTTGCTCCTGGGCACCCCACCTAGGGAGGAGAGAGGGTACCGTTGCAAACAGAATTTGCCCAGACTTACCCGTTACAAGCTGATGGAGCCTATTCAGAGATACCTCCAAGCTGACCCCTGTCCCTCAGTGGGAGCAGGCTGAAGGGCAGGCGTAGGGCGTGCCCAGAGCACTCCCCCCATGATGCTCTAGGATTACTGACCCCTGACCCAAAGGTGGGTAGGGGAAGCTAAATGAGGAGTCAGATGATGAAAGGACCCAACTGGGGCATAACCCAGAAGCCCAAGGTGGGGCAGGCAGATCTAAGCCCTGAGCCATGGTGTCTCTTTGGCCAGATTCCCGCCGAGACACCGTTTCCTCCACCACATCGTCTGTCTTTCTGGACCAACCTGACGACTCAAGCTCGAGCAACTTTGCTGAGGAGCCCGTTACCATGTAAGTACGGGCCTGGTCATCCTCCAGTGATGCTCCCAGGCAAGAACTCACCCACATACCAGCAGTCCAGTGAGGGTGGCTGGCGGAGGCTGGGCATGCTGCCAGGCACGAGGTTGGCTGGCGAGGGTTCAGGAGGCTCCATGCCCCACTACGTCACTCGTTCACCCTCGCCTCCTTCCCATGCCATTCTCGTAGCCGCTGGCGATTGCCTCCGGTGATACCATCACACACAGAGGTCGGTTTGGGCAGCGGAGAGGGAGGCCTCCCATCCTGCTCTGAGATGTAGAACAAATAGGCTAAGGAGAAAAGCTCTCCTATCTGCAGAACCCTGGCTTTCCATTTCTGAATCGCATGAAGGTACTGCTGACAGTGGGAGCATAGCGCTCTTTGAAGCTTACTCCTTCATTTTGCAAATGGGGAAACTGAGGCCCCTAGAGGTGCAGTGACTTGCCACAGGCCACACAAACATCCACTAGCAGAGCCAGAGTTCAAACCTAGGCCATAGTGTGTGTAGGCTCACATGCATATGTGTATCCTGTGAGGCTGGGCACTCAGAGATCTGTCTGCTTTACAGCCTTCTTCAGGGCTCCCCCCTCTCTCCATAATTATCCCCAGATACATGTTTGAAAATGTCACTGCTTCCTCATGGGGTCCAGAAGAAAGTCTGCCCATCCAGTGGGCCCAATGTGGCCCTCTCCCTATAACTCTGTCATCTGAGAACAGGAAGAATTCCAGTCTGGAGTCCACGGGGAGGATCACACCAGCCACTCATGCCCAAGGGTCTGAAATGCCCTCTCATCCAACCCCTTCATCTTCCAGAGGCCCACTGGTAGCAAGTGGTGGGGCCAGGCCTGGGGTCCAGGGCCTGGGACTCCAAACCCATGTGTCTCTCCCTCTCCCAGATAACAAGCACATTGATACCTTCAGGTGCTCAGGGCATCTTTTTAGCAGGATTCCCAGTTGGCACTCCATCCTGAGGTTAGGGTATGCCCTCTGACAACTAATCTACAAGTTGTTCTTGAGGTCTGATCTCATCCGGGGGCTGCTTGCTCTCCATCCATGAATGCATCTCAATGGATTGCTCATGTGGCCTGACCCTGGCAGGGCCCTGGGGAATGCTTGCTGACATTGAGGGTGATGGTAGCAATAGCTCCCACTCAACACTCCCCATGATAACCTCCATGCTCTTCTCTTCCTCTGTTGGTTTTAGCCAATTCTCTGAAAAGTGCGTCATGAACAACTATTTTGGCATTGGCCTGGATGCGAAGATTTCTCTGGAGTTTAACAACAAAAGGGATGAACACCCCAAGAAGTGCAGGTATGGAAAAGAGAGGCACCCCCATACCCCCACACATGTGGACACACTCCCTTGTTGTGCATCTTTCCCAGATGGAACCCAGAGGGCCCTTTGGCAGGGCCCTCAGGGGCTACCTGGCCAGGTAGTCCCCTGTACTATCTGTACTATTTGTTAATGGTTGGTCCGCTGGAAGACCTCCCTTGAAGGGAAACTACACACACACACGTCTCACTTTGAGGAAGCTCTAATTGTTCAGAGTTTTTTCTCCCATCCTCCCCCAAGCCTCCATCTGCTTCTCTGAATCTTTTCCCTGTTGCTCCCTGGCCCTAAGCAGAACAAGGTTAGTGCCCCTTCCGATACCGAAGAAGGCAATCACTGCATCCCCCTGAAGCTTCTCTCCTCCAGACAGCACCCCTAGTTCCTTCAGACAACCTTGTGAACAGCGAGATCTGGGTGTTTCTAGACATGGCTTTCAGTCTTGGGCGTCTACCCTGACTCATTCATTGCTTTGGCTTATTTTGCTATCCCAGGGGATAGCTCAACATATAGCTCAAGCTTGGGTGTCCATGGATTAGGTCAAAGGCTCCCAGTTTCCGGAGAAGGCCCCGGGCAGTGCCCAGAAACAAGGAAGGCCATTTTCCCAGGGCCAAGTAGGGAGCAGAGCTGGGAAAGACAGCAATGTGTCTGCAATGCAGTGGCTGAGGTGGCTCCTGCTCCAATCACACCACTTGCCAACCTTTGGGGGATTCCTGGATCCCCATTCCAGGGACTGGCAAGATCAAACAAAAACCCCAACTCCACCCTGGCTCTGGGATTGGCTCCTACCTGGTGTGCATCTTAGCCCAGGCTGCCAACAGTAAAGGCCCCAGACGTGGCCCATTTGGGTCCCAGTCTGTACCATCTACAAATCCAAGGGAGCCACTTGTTATCCCCATCCTTGCCCACTGTGTGTCTGCTTCGACCTTTCCTGTTCGTTTCCTCATGTGTTCAAGTCCTGAAATGTTAGGGCCAGAAGGCGCCTGGATTGATTGAGCAGCAACTCCCCAAATCTCAGTTCTCTGGGCAAGTTCAGCCCAGAGACGAAAACATGGCAATGGCAGCCTTCCCCAAAGGCAGTCTTGTGATCAGGAATGAGCTTAGGGGGGATTTGCTATGTCCCTGTAACATGCTTAAGCCTTGGGCCCCTTCTCCAGGGCCTGGCAGCTAAAAGGAAACTCAGTTGATTCCATTTAGACAGGTAGCTTGAGACTGGACCTGACCACAGCTTTCCTTCTCACTTGCTTCTCTGGCCCCAGTTCCCACGGCTACCACCCCAATCTGATATGGGCACCTAGGAGCATCTCCTGCTCCCCACGCTGTCGGGACCGGTGGCCAGGCCAATCCAAATATACCAACCCTGCCTTTGGCATTTTAGCCCCCTTAGTCCTCTGGCAGAAAGACGAAGTGTGCCAGCCTCAGCTGTCTGGGGCCCAGTCTGCTGGCCCATGGGCACATCCCAAGTGACTCTTCCTTCATTGCCCCCTTCTCCCCACAGTACCAACAGCTGGGAGTCATGTTGGTTAAGTGACTCCATGGGGACCTCTGACTTGTGACACTGGGCAGAACACAGCAAGGAGAATGGGTGCCCCCACCTCTTTCCTCCACTCTAGCCCCCAAGGGGGAAACCTTAGTTCTGCCATAGAAATCAGGGGCAGCCGATGGAGGGACTTAAGTGGAACAGTCCCTGGTCCAGGACTCAGTCATTCCACTTGCCGTATGCCACCTGGCCCTCCTGGTCGTTGCAGAGATCCTTCCGGTGGCAGCTAACCTTGCCAGCTGTACCTGGCATGGCCTCAATCCTGGGCCATGTTCCCTTAGCAGACCTTCCCTTACCTTGGCTTCACAAAGAGAAGACCCTCTGCCTTTAGGGAATGTACTTGGCTTTCTCCAATGGCCTGCATGAGCTGTGCCCGTTTTTCCCCTTGGGGAAACCTTCCTATGCCTCCAGGAATCTGTGCCCAGATGTTCGTCCGCCGGTAGAGCTGCCTTACCCGTCCGTGGCAGAATGGTGAAATGGGAACCCTGAAGGGACACATAGCCAACTGCCTTTCCTGCTCCTCAACTCCTCCGTTACCTGCTCCCTGAGGCCACTGCCATCCAGAAGCCTCCATCTCTCCCCGCCCGCTCCAGAAGGATTCAATTGTTAAGGAGAAATTCCCTGAGTAGTTTCTGGCCTCCGTGGCAGTCAGTGATTAATGGGCCCATGGAGCACAAGTCCTGAGTCGTAGGATCGCAGATTCTAGCCCAGGTTGTGGCAGTGGTGGGCTGTGGGGCCCACAGGAGTCTCAGTCTTCCCAGACTACCCACAGTGAATCTCTAAAAACATGCCAGGAGGAGGAACAGATGACAAAAAGCCATAAACTCCATCCCAACCAGGGACTGGGAGAAGTCCCTGAGTAAATCCAGCAGAAGAGAAGGGAGTAGCTGCCCAAGTCCAAGCGGAGCCCCAAGAAGAGAGGAAACACGATGCCAGGTGGGGCGATATCCGGGGAGGGAAAACAGCAAGGTGCTGGGAGCCCTCCTGCAAGGACTGAACTCCCTGAAAATTAGAACGGGCCAGAGAGGAAACAGTGACTCCATGAAACAAGAAATATTAGAACAAAATCTGACGAGTGAAGTAGGCATCGAAAACAACAGGCCTGAAAACAGGCCAAGGACTCCCTCGTTTTACAGATGAGAAGCGAAGGCTCCGAAGGGAAGTGACGTGTCACACGGTGACACACAGACTAAGTGGCAGGCCTAGCATTCGAATATAGGCCCCTGACACCATCTCTGCTATGGACTTGTCCAAGGTCACCCAGGTCACCCACAGAACCCTCTGAATGCTCTCTGCTGCCTCATGCCCACTCCCTTCACCCTCAGCCCACGCTCTTGCCATCTCTCAGATGATGATTGTGAACCTGCTTTCTGTGCTCTCTCCAGGAATTTGGGGCTCTGCAGACCCCTCCAGTCTCTGTCCAAGCCATTTCTTCTTGAGCTGACAGGCCCCTGGTCCGAGCATTAGCACCAGACAGTTCAGCACAGAAAGGAGAGCTGCATCCCAGCCCACCCCACTGGACTCTGCCCCCGTGCCCAAGCAGCCCCATGGCTTTTTATAAACACTGTTCCCATATGTAGTTGACATCCTCACGCAATGCCAGGAACAGAGACAGAAGCTCGTTCTCAATTGCAGGGCCTTGGGTGGGACTGATGCCTGGACCCACCTTGTTGCAGCACATGTTGGACCAGTGGCCTGGCTCAGGCTCCAGGGCCTGAGGAAGAAGGGCTTGCTGCTCCCTGGGGGGTTTCAGTCCATCCCTTCCTTCTCTGTCAATTGTTGCTTTTCCTCTCCCCTCCCCCACCTCCAGCAGCCGCACCAAGAACATGATGTGGTACGGGGTGCTGGGAACCAAGGAGCTCCTGCAGCGTACCTACAAGAACCTGGAGCAGCGAGTGCAGCTGGAGGTCAGTGGGCCCATTCCCTCAGTCCTTTCCCCCTCCCCACCCCCAGCCTCCAGGGTACTGACTGGACCAGACCTTCACCACTGTTGATACCCAGTGAGAACAAGCGGGGCCAGAAGAGGCCTCAGAGGCTGACAAGGGCCACGTGGAGCCTACACAGCCCCCAGGATCTGGCTCCACATTCAAAGCTCTCTCTCCATTACCTGACCCTACCAAGTCCCACCGGGACATAGTCTGCTCTTTTCCTGGACTGCTCCCCCTGGTGGTGAGTGTCGGTACTGTCTCAGAATCCCCCACATAGAAAGAACCTTGCAGACCATAGGATCCTAGAACATTAGGGCTGACAGAGACCTTCGGAGCCATTGGGTCCAACCCCCTCATTTTACAGGCGAGGAAAGAGGCCCCAAGAGGCTCATACGGCTAGTATCTGAGGCTAGACTCAAACCCAGGTCTTCCTGAGCCTTCCAAGCCTGGAAAGTGCTCTACCCATCATAGCACACTGCCTCATCTTGTCTGACCTCCTCATTTGCCCTCACAGAGCTGGTGGCCATCACCTTTAGGACCATATGATTGTAGACCAAGAGCTGGAAGGGACCTTGGTGAACACAAAAGGAAATTGAGGCAGCCAAGGGTGGTCAAGTGAGTTCATAGCTAGAGGAGGAAACCTCAAGGGAAAGAGACTTGCCTAAGGTCACACAGGCCCTGTGAGCTGGAAGGGACCTTGGACAATGTCCTCACTTCCCATTTCTGGGCCCCAGTTTTTGCCGCAAACCCCAGGGTCCTTTTTAGTACTGATGCCTTCTAATCCTCTAACCCCTTCCAAGTAGTCACCGATCCCCGCATCTTTACTTTGCTCTTCCAGTGTGATGGTGAAATCATGGCCTTGCCTAGTCTGCAGGGAATTGCCGTGCTCAACATCCCCAGCTATGCAGGAGGCATCAATTTCTGGGGTGGCACCAAGGAAGATAATGTAAGTTTACTCCCAGCCATGATGGGGAGAGGGAACGGGGCCCCTCAGATGGGAGAGCTGTGGGCCCAAACAGAAGCCTTCCAAAACCCAAAGTGCCCTGGCCCAGCCTGGGCTTTGACCCCTGACCCAGACATGCCTGAAGCAGGACTGACCAAGCTCAATCAATCAGAGGGCCTCTCACGGGGCTATGGTGAGCAGGGAAAAGACCTGGCTAGGCTGAAGTGGAGGTGGGGGGAGGCTGAGTACCTGAGGCCTGGGAGCTGGTTCTCCTGGCTTTCTCTGTCCCATCAGCATACTAGCTTTCCATGCCCAGGCCTGGCCCACCACCTGCTTGAAAATGAGAATTAATCACTCTGCACCCATCGCAAGTGAACACACTACACTCAAGCAAAGGTGGTTGGCAGGCCCCAGGGAAATGGATAAACATGCAGGCCCCACATCCCTCTCTTGCCATGACTCCCAACCAGCTCCTTAGTAAAGCTGGCTTTCAAATGTATGGACCCAGAACCCCAGAATCTCCAAGTTTCAAGGGACCTTTGCAACCCTCTTATCCAGCCCATATCTATCAGGTGGCCCTCCATCTGTTAGGATGTAGCACCTAGGAAAGAGGCCTTTGATATTAACAGGACAAAGGCTCTTGGGTGAGATGGGGCTGGCAGGGGGCCAATAGAAGGGGTCAGAGATGACCTACCCTTCCTCCTGGGCTCAGCTCCTAGTCCCATCTCTTGGGCAGGCTGTCAGGGGCTGTGAGCGACCTCACCGCTGTCCCCCTACAGAACTTTGGAGCACCTTCCTTTGATGACAAGAAGCTGGAGGTGGTGGCGGTGTTTGGCAGCATCCAGATGGCTGTGTCCCGAGTTATCAATCTTCAACATCATCGCATTGCCCAAGTAGGCAGCAGTGGGCTGGGCAGGGGACCTGGTGGCCAGGCCATGGGACATGGGCGTGCACACTTATCTATGGGGGTGGTGTTATGCATGGAACAGTGAATGGCAGGGACTGGGAACTCTGGGTTCCCCTAGACTAGGCTGCTGAGTCAATAAGCATTAAGTAAGCACTTATCATGGGCCGGGCACTAGGTGGAAGCCCCATCTAGATTTTTCTCCCAGCCTAGAGCTATAAAGCCTTTAGCCTATACGAGACATCCTTATTTCTGAAGGTCCATCAGCTGATGCCTGGGCACCACTGGCCAACAGGAAGTGGGTTTCACATCTTGACGCAGGTGGTGCCTTCGGGGTCTACCCCTGCTTCAGACACTTGAGCTATGCTGGTGGGCTCTCACAGGCTCCTCATTGCTTTGCCAGTGCCGTGTGGTCAAGATCACCATCTGCGGCGATGAAGGGGTCCCTGTGCAAGTGGATGGAGAGGCCTGGGTCCAGCCCCCGGGTATCATCAAGCTTCAGCATAAGAACCGAGCCCAGATGCTGACCAGAGACCGGGTGAGAAGTTTCAAGCCTCAGCCCTGCCCAGGGATCCACAAGGCTTCCAACGGTCTCCTACTAACATCCTTCTAAGGATTCATGAAAAAACAACCTTTACATTTGATCCCAACTTCAGTGAAACCCTCTAAGCTTGAAGGAAATGTGTGCCCATTTGCTGACCAGTTTGGAGAGGGATGCTCTGGTCTGCATGGGGAAAGCGGAAAGGGCAATGGCGAGCAAGCTAGTATCACTTCAGTGCCAACACTTACCAAGTGCCTCCTTTGTTCTGTCAATCATCTAGCATTTAGTGAGTACCTACTATGTGCCAGACACTGTGCCAAGTGCTGCAGATACGAAAAAGAGGTATTCCTCCCCAGGGATGTTAGTATGGTAGCCCCTGCACTGCAGAAAAGAAGCTAATGTGCTGATTTTTATAGTTTACAGAGGGACTAATGTGATGGGACATTTTCTGACATGTTGGCACAAGGCTTGGGGGAAGCTGAGCTCTGTCTGAAGTCTGACCCCTAGAGACTCAAGCTTGACTTGGCAACCACTTCTACAGGAATGGGGAGAGACCATCTCCTTTCTTAATTGCCTTTCTTTGCCATTCTCCTCATCTCCAGGCCTTTGAGAGTACCCTCAAGTCATGGGAAGATAAACAAAAGGGGGAAAGCTACCGATCAACCCGACCCCGGCTCAGCTCCCAGCAGTCCATGGAATATCTCACCGAGGAGGAATATAGGCTGTTGCAGCGCTTTGCCCGCTCTGCTGACATCCTCATCACCAGGTGAAGTGGCCAGTCTGTGAGAGAGTCCCTGGGGCGAGAGGGAGCTAGAGGGAGAGAGAGGAGGGCAAGCCATAGCGGAAACCTGGCCTCTTCATGGAAGCCCCAGCCATGACTGGACTGAGGGAGAGGGAACTAGCCTCAATTGGGGGTCCCAAGACCTAGGTTCTAGTCTTGGTTGGGCCACTAACTGACCCAGCTACTTTGGACAAAGTTCTTTCCCCATCTTTGGACATAAGTGTTCTCCTGTGTGAGAGAAGGAGGCCAGAGCTCCCTGCCAGGCCCACATCTGGAATCCCATGGTCCTAGAAGACCTCAAAGATTGCTCTCCATCCTGAATACCCTGTGACTCGTTGCCTTCTAGTGTGGAAAAAATAGCCCCCCTTGCTCCCTCCCTCCCTTCCTTCTCTGGGCCTCAGCTTCTTCCTCTGTAAGATAAGGCCTTTCCAGCCTCCCAAACCTAACTCTCACTGAGCTTTGTTTGGAGAAACCTTCTTGGCCATCTGAATTTGTGATGGCTTCACCTCCTCCCATTATATACATGAGGTTTTATTTGTTAGCTGGGATTTGGGCAACCTCCCCTGTCATCCTGACTTTGTGAATGTAAACAAGCTGATCTTATTGGGTCTTAGAAGATATATATGCGCACACGCACACATAAACATATATACACACATAGGACTGTGTATTAGTAGGCCAAGCCATTTGCCTCTCAGTGCCCCAGGACACTCTCTCAAAGCTCCAAGTTACAACCAAGTTGCCCCAGCCCGACATTGGTGGAGGGAGATTCCACACCAGGAAGTTCCTGGCATCAGTGAAATCCCAGGCACAGGCTCTTTGTCGTAAGCCTGGCATTTGTGCACCATTAGGGGGAGTCTCTCCCTCGCTAGGTGTGGGCTGCAATCACAGATGCCACCCAGCACCTACCATTCCAGCTGCTCTGATCGGGGAATGGCCACCATGGGCCAAGGAAGGTGGACGCTGTCTTGCTTAGTGGCCCGATTGTCTCTACCTTCTTTTCTGCTGAGAAAAGCCCCCTAGAGTCACTTCTTAGGAGTTGCACCCTGGCATGCAGGCAGCCAGAGAAGGGAACCTTGGCTTCCTGAAGGTTTGGGTGCTTGGCTGGTGTTGATTGCTGCGCCCCACTGTCTCTCTGTCTGCTTATACAGCACTGTTGTTCTCTCCTGTTCTTCATGTTCCTAAGCTGCCGAGAGGGTCCCCTCTCTGTGTCCAAAAAAAGTCCAAACATTCTGCAGATCACAATCATCTGGGCAAGAGGGGGCATCATTCCACTACCCCTCAGTCCTAGGAAGGTGCAAATACAAGGGTCTTACAGACCCCTGCCACAGGCTTGGAGTAAAGCTAAGGGTCAAGCATTCCAATTCCATGTCCAGCCACTCCTGTCACCACCAGTCCTTGCCCCTGAATCCCTAAGACACAGGGAAACTGACAAGGCATCACCAACACGTGGCAGAGATGGAGCTTTTTCTCTGTATAAGGGGGAAAGTCAGATGCCCCCTTTTGTGCGGCTGCATGTCACGACCTGATGTTGGGACACCGGCGCGTGCGTGGCACAGATGGTTGGTGTGAGACTTGATCTTCAGGCCTGGAAAAGGACACAGTCTCCCCTCTAGAAGCACCTAGAAGCACCACAACACCTGTGTCCTTAGTTCTCGATTCTGCATCTGAGACCCGGCTGGCTGTACCTATATCCTTCAAAAAACTTCACTAGGATACGTAAGTTTTGTGCGTGGGTTGTCTTTTCATTCCTCTGCTGCACTGGCAGACTTACCATATAACCACCCATTCTGAGAACATTTGCTACTAAATGATGGGGAATGGACAGGAGTGACTGATCATTTCTCCAGCCTCAGAAAATCGTCCCCTCAAACCCAGAACATCTGCCATTGCAAGCAGAGTGGTTTTATGGTAACTTGCCCCCCAGAGTGAAAGACAAACCCGGGTTCGGTAATGGGAATTCCCCCCCTTGACTTTTGGTTGGCATTTTAATTGCGTGGCTCCCATCTAAAGCTTGCTGTTGTCTGTTATGCATAAAAGTGGTGGGGCATGAGCAGGAGTGGACTTCTGGCAGATGACCCTCAGTGACTGGTAGATGCCAAAGGGGAACATTGTGGGAGTCATCTGGAACAAGGCCAGGCCCATCAGCTGGTGGCCTCTGTATCCAGAATGCTAGAATTGAAATCAAGACCCACCCCCATCTATCAGTTTCCTGAGTAGGTCTGATTTTGGAGGACTGCCACCTGTTAGGGGATAGTCACCATCCTTAGAGGGAAAGTCCATCAACCCTGTAACTGACTCATAAATCGGGGGACCCTTTGGGCTGGGACTATTGCTTTGGCAAGAACCCCGTGCCCGCCTCGATTAGGTCCTTTTAGAAATAATAAATCGGGGGACCCTTTGGGCTAGGACTTACCGCAAGGTCGGGAACCCTGTGCCCGCCCCGATAGATCCTGAGGGCCCCAGGGAGAGTAGCATTAAGCCACCGCCAACCAAGAGAACAAGGGAAGGGCCCCTGTTGGGCTGAACCTAGCACAGGGAAGTATTGAGATGAGTGTGTAGGACTCTTTAGTTCAAGCCCCCCTGGCAGCATGTGGGACAAGAAAAGGGGGAACCCTGAGGACAGGTGTGTGCCAAATGTTCCCAGTGCCCAGATGGGATGGTGCCAGCCCCAGTGGGCTATGGCACTTCAGTCAGAGGCCCTGCCTCTCCTGAGGAACATGTTAGCTCGTGCAGAGCCAAGGGATCCCAGGAAGCCACCTTTGGCAGGCTCTTCTCCACAGTGCACAGCAGTGAGGTCGAGGCCTTAAAAGACAAGGTGCGACCTCCTGGGAGAACAAGTCCAGATAGGAACCACCCAAGTTCCTGACCAGGCCCAGCAGTTTCACTGGCTGCCCTGTCCAATTTTTGTGGCAAAGGTCTGAGCTGTGGTGGCAGGTAGATGACAACCCAGCTGCTTGGACTGGAGAGGCCGGTGGAGAGGGCTGGGGGCTTGACTCCCCCACTGCCTCATCCTCCTTCCCACTCCCCTCCTAGAGTAGGATGCCCCATGCAGCCCCAACATCTTTCTTCCACCTTTCCCTCTGCACAGGCCAGGCCCATGGCCAGGAAGCAGCACCAAGGAGATCCCAGGGGAATGTGTTCAATTATAGCTTAAGCTCCTTGGGTTACTCAAAAACTGAACTACACAACTTGGACCAAGCTGCCTGTCAGCATCCTTGACCTTGGAGCTGCTGCAGCCATGACCAAGGGGGCCCCAGTGACACCACTGTGAATGTGATGATGGTTCAGGATGTGGCTTCCCCGGAGCCCATGCCCTTTTACATGGCTCACTGATGCCTGGTGCCGCCCCAGCCAGCGCAACTAGCCCAGCGTGGTGTCGCAGAGAGTGGCCCGTGGCTTCTCTCAGGAGTGTAGCATGGCCCGCTTTCTTTCTCATGTCATGATGTATCCCAAAGACATGGTCATCTCTAGCCTCCAAACTGAGGCCCTGTCTCACCTCCCCATGACTTGGTTGCAGGATCCGGGAGGTGGCCAAGATCCACAAGGCCATAGAGCAGGAGCTGGCCCACTCCGTGAATGGCTGTGCCTCGGCCCTGACTGAAGTGCTGCCCAGCAAGCGCAGCGGCAGCAGCCCTGAGGTAAGGCAGGGATAGCAGCGATTGGCAGGTGGGAAATGGTTGGGGGCAGGGAAGGTACACGCATACGTTTATGCCCGTGCATACGCACACATGCGCGCACACACACACACACTCTCTCTCTCTCTCTCAGATGGGGCCAGAGGGCAAGCAGTTTAAGTGTTGAGGAGTGAAAAATCTGAGCACAGCATGAGCCTCAGAAACAGCTGGGGCCCCTGTCGATTGCCAAGTCTGCAAGGGACTGGAGACACATTTGCAGGCCTTGAACGATGCCCTTGGACTGGGCCAGATGGTGCCAAAGACTACATCTGGGACCAATGACTCCCACGCTATAGGCTGGCGATTTCTAGCCCTGGTGGAGCCCAGAGGATCCAGCTGAAAATAATGGCTTAGTTGTTGGGGGAAGAGGGAGGGGAATGCTTAGGCCTCCACTCATTTAGCCCAAGGGCCTAGAGTGACTTCCATTTTACATGGTCAGTTGAGCCAGCAACCTAGGTCCCAGACTTGCTTCCCTTTCCATGTGGCTCTTGACACCAAGAGTAGCTCAGGGCAAAGCCCCTTCTTGAGAGGGAGTAAAAGAGGAGAGCCAAATTGGGCCATTATCAGGGAATGGCCCAGCTCCCTGGTCACCCTGCCAGCTCCTTCCATCCCTTGGTATCCACAAGCCAGGCTCATCATACTGACTTTTCTCTCTCCTTTTTCCTTCTCTTCTTTCTTCACCTCCACACCTTGCAGAGCCTGAGCAGAAACTCAGCTGTGGAAGTTTCAATTAGCGTGAAAGCTTTGTACAATGAAGCCAGAGCTTATGTGGAAGGGAAGTTGGTGAGTACAGGGGATGGGAAGAAGAGGGTGAGCAGGATTTACCCCCAAGCACTGGATAACCTGACAGCAATTGGGAGAGACAAGGGCCAGGGTGTTATGAATAAAGGGCTAGGCTGGAAGGTTCAAATTCCATCTCCCACAATTATAGTTTCCTAGTTCTACAGGTAGAAAGGATCTCAGAGGCCCTCATTTTACAAGGGAGGAAACTGAGGCATCCCAGAAAGGAGGTCATGCAGGTAGGCAGAGCTGGGCTTTGAACACAGATCCTTTGACTCCAAACCCAGGGCTTGGCCAGGTGACTGGTAGGGTTCCCATAATTCAACATCACAGTGCCTTCTTGCAGTCCCACATAGGGGAGAATAGAAGTATTCTAAAGAAGGGCTTGCTACGCGTAAAGCAGTATGTGAGAGCCAGAGTCAATTTCACATGTCCCTGCCCTCCTTGAGCCCCAGGCAGTAGTCACATCTCTGTGAATATTCAATATCTACAGTAAACATGAGAGCAATGGAAGGTCATGGGAAGGCAAGAGTGTAAGCATGGAGATCCTAGCAAACTGAGGTCCAAAGAGATTGTGTGACCCAGAGCAGAGCTGAGATTTGGACTTTCCATTGTACCACATGGGAGGTGGGGGTGAGGGCCACAGACAAACTTGGCTTTCCCCCCACCGCCCCCAGTTTTGCAGAGGACTGGCCTGGCATCCAAGATAAGGGAAGGAAAGGTGGGAAGGGCCCAACCCTGGCCCAAACAGTGTATTGCTCGGCCTGAAGGCCTACAGACAGGAGCCCCTCCTCTGTGGCAGCCCACATTCAGGAAGTCGGGGCAGTCCTCATTGTTAGCAAGTTCTTCCTGACATCTGGCCTGAACCTGGCCCTCTACAACTTCTTTCCAAAGCTCCTAGTTCTGCCTTGGGGAGGGGGGGTGCCAAGCAGATCTAGGCTAGTCCCTCCTCCCCAAGACACCCTTCAGATCCTTGAAGACAATGAGCACAATTCCCCTCCCCCACCACCAATTCTTCTCTTCCTCATGTGGTGTGAACTTGAACATCCTGGGAGGCCTCCTCTGGTGCCCTCCAGCTTTTATCAATGTGTCCATTAAACTGGGGTCCCCAGACCTGGAAGAGGGTGGGGGCAAAGGAGAGCGCTGTCATCACCTCCTCGGTCTCTGCATGCTGGACCTCTCTCAGGGTAGCCTCCATGTCTGTATGGCCACTGGAGGACAGCGGGAGAGACTGAGAGTTTAGGGGCCACCGCCCAGGGCAGTATGGAGGAGCCAATTGTTCAGCCACCTGGAGCAATCCCTTTCATCTTTTCCCCAGGGCTGCCAAGTTCACTGTGTCTCTCTACAAAACTCCCCAAGGCCCTCCCAGACTTCTCCAGGTCTGCCCATCCCTGCAAGTCTGTTTCAGTTGCTGATGTCTTATGCTGTTGGCTTTCCTAATCACCCATCCATGTAGCCTGCCAGCCCCTCTCACCTGTCTGTGGCAGGTGGCACCAGAAGAGTTCCCACCTGGGGGTCCAATTGAAAGTGGGCCTCATGCCAAGGAGAAGAAAAGAGGCTGGGTAGACAGGCCTCATGCCAGTGGCATCACTGCCCATCTGTTCCGTCTACTCATTAGTCCCAGGAACACAAAACTCCTCGTGTGTGCTGGCCTTTCAGGGCTTGGCTCTTCTCGGTTGGAGGTGATCCCAGGGAGAGGAGTCATTAAAGATCTTGATTTAGGGACCAGAATATGCCATGACTCCTATTAGTGGGAGAGGGCCAGGCTAGGGGCCTGGGCCCAGTTGGAACTGGGACAGTAGGGACTGTCCTGGCCCCTTCAGACCTCAACATCCACATTAGAAATTGGGGAACACTCCAAACAACCTTCAGGTCAAAGGACAAGCCCTGGCATGGACAGCAAGCAACCCTGGATTTCAGGGACAGGACCTGGGCTTGGATCCCAGCTCTGTCACATAGAAACCGTTCAACAGTAGGCTAGGCTTATTTCCCTGAGTTTTTAGTGTCTGGAAAATGAGAGAGGCAGATTCAGTGACCTCTAACCCTAATTCTGAGACCCCTTCAAGCCCTAAATCTATAGTCCTATGCTTTTTGACCCCTAATGCCCACCCCAAATATTTCAGGTTCAAAAAAGAGAGCCCCATCAGGCTACTGTGTTCCCCAGAGTAGGGCTGATGGTACTGTACAGTGAGACCCAAAGCAGAGCCTTAAAGTTGCCCAGGGGCACTGGGTCCTATTGCCACTGTGCTTAAGAGGCAGGATCTGGGCCCAGCTCCTCTCCAGCCATCTCTCTAGGCCCCCTCACATTGCCTCGGAATGCCTAGTGTAGGACGCTGAGCCTTGAACCTTGAAGTTGGTGCTTGTGTGCCAGGAAACAGAGATGCCTGGCAGTGAAGCTCATCTTATCTGTTTTCTATCCCTACAGCAGCTGGACAGCCCCCGGCGGGAGGAGGGGCTGCAGGTTGCCCTAGCCAACGTCAGCCAGGAGCTGGAGAAGGTGTCTGAAATCCACTGGATGGCACCCATCCTCAATGCTGTCACTGAAGAGGTGAGTGCCTTCTGGAAGGGGCCACAGAGGAACAGGGTGACTGAAAGCTGTGGGGCTTCACTCCATCTCAGTTTATCAGATGCTGGGGTGGAGGGATAGCAGGGGCTGTAGCTCTCATCAATCAACTAACATTTAGTAAGCACCTACTGTGTGCCAGGCACTGTGCTAAGTAAGCACTCTCATGATCTGGGGGTTGCCTTGTCAGTGAAGAGAGGGCTTTCCTGGATAAAAGGATGTGGGCAGAGGGAAGCCCAGCTCTTCCGGCCAAAGGTGACTTGGGAGGAGGGGTGTTGGGGGCTAATGCCCCTCAAGTGTGAGGGGGAAGGAGGAAGAAAAGCACTGATGCTTTTTTGGCCCCACTCTGTCACAACTGTTTCCAAGCTCCCCTCCCTTCACCCCAACCCTGGCCCTTTGACCTTATCCAGGACACAGGAACAGTGCAAGCTCTGGGGGGTACTGAGCAGAGAAGTGTGGATGGCAGGAGTGCAGATGGCTATGGGCACATCATTGACACATGATGATTGTTGAGAATTGTGTCACAAAATTGGAAAAGTCACATTTCGTTAATTTGGTGGCCAAATTAGGACAGTGCCTCATGGAAGCTCCAAGTTGGAAGGGCCTTCCTTCTGAGGCTGTCAAGTTCTACCCATCCCTAAGCAAAAATCCTCTCTGAAATGTCGCCCACTGAAGGTCAGCCAGCCCTGATTTGGGGTCCACCAGCGATGGAGAGCCCTCCCCCCCTCACCAGCCACTCGAGGCTAGTTCTCCTGGTGAGGTTCTCCCTTCCAGCCAGTCTAAATCTACCTCCTTCTGCCCCGCCCCCCCCATCGCTCCGGATTCTGCCCTCAGGGCCAAACAGAGCAGGTCTAATACCTTTGCTGCTGGAGAGCCCTAAACCTATCAGAAGGCAGCCCCCGGCCTTCTCTGGGCTTCATATCCTCAGTTCCTTCAAGTAACTCGTATATGGTACAGTTGTCCCATGGCTTAGCTGACAGGGCTACACTCAGAGCCAGAAGCCTCCAGGCTGAGTCCCAGCTCTGCCACTTACCAACCATCACTGGCCTCTGATCCATCTCTGAGGACCACTGCCAGCCCTTCTCTGGTTGGCTTCCTCTGGATGCACTCCAGCTGGTCAGTGTCCTTCCTGAAATGTGGCCACTGGCACTTGGGCCAAGCCCCTGGAGGACGGCACCTGCTTCTTTCTCTTGGTCTTAAATCAGCAGGCCCTGGAAGGAGCAAGCTGAGCTCCACAGTCTTTCCCACAAAGGGCCCGGGCTTGTGGCCCTGTGTCACCTCCTGGCCCCTCTGCTACTGTCCTTGTGCTTATTCTGCCAACAGACACGGACTCAGTAAAGGGGGGGCGGCAAAGCTGCCCAAACCCAACATCATTGTTAGAGGAGGGCCTCAGAGACCATGGAGGCCAGCCCTCATCTGAAGGAGGATCCCCTGCATAACAGACCCAGTGTGTGGCCCCCTCATCCTGTGCACCAAGCCCTCCAAGGAGGACATGGCCCCAGCCTCAGCAGCCCAGTCCTCAGGGTTAGGAAGCTTGTCCCGACTTTAAACTTGAGTCAGCCTCTCAGCAACTTCCACCGAAAGGACATCAAGGCAGTGGAGAATGGAGCAGCCCCAAGAAAGAGGCCGGGGGAGACTTGGGAAACTAAAGCAAGGCCTGGGTAGGAAGATCAGCAGAGATAGCAGTCGGCAGAAATTGCCAAAGGTGCGATGCATATCTGGCAGTATAGCCAGACTATGGCTGCCCCTCTAATATGGACCAATATCCTGTCTCTGATTCTTACTACCTGTGTAACCTTAGGCAAGTCACGTCATCTCCACGGGCCTGCCTCAGCTTCTTCATCTATAGAGCGAGGGGCTTGGCCTGAATGGCCTCTGAGCACTAACTATAGCATTGTCTGAAACTCGTCTCAGAGCATAAGTACATTTGGGGACAGCTGGCCTTGGCCCGAGCCCCTACAAGCCCCTTTAGAAGGTACAAAAACTAACCCTCTTGTTTTTCTCTGGCCCAGGAGAGCTTGGGACACACTAGCAAGGGCAGCTTCAGGCTGCGCCTCAACATCTCCAGAGGAAAGAAAAGCAAGCCCCCCAAGGTCAAATGGAGCAGCTCTGTCTCAGGTAAACCCCTTCCCCACAGTTGTGGGAGTGAGGTTAATTTTCCCAGCAGGCTGAGCTCCAGAGAAACACAGTGCTGGGAGGAAGCGGGGAAGGAGCCAGAGGAGAAAGTCACTGTTCCCCATTCTCCAGTGTGTGGAGACAAGATGAAGCAAGTTCAAAAAGGGCCATCTTGGACAGCCCCAAGGGGTTCCAGAGCTGCCACGAGAGCTTGAGGGAACAGGAATCTCTGCCTCTGCCCTTGACTCCCTCTGCAGGACGGGAGGCCGGAGGGCAGGTTTCCTTTGGAGCAGACTCTTGTCAGCCCACTGAAAGAAATCTATTCAGAAAGCCGCCAATTATTTCTCTGCTCTGCCTAGTACTGTTCCCCCCAGGCCAAAATATGGCTAAAAGAGCCATCCTGAGACACTTCTCCTAGTCATGCCTGGCTTCCTCCCTGGGCTGGGAGCAAGATGAGCTTCTAATCCTGCCAGAGACATTTGCTTTTGAAAAAGCCCAAAACAGAGCAAGTGGGGCTCTCTCTGGGACCTTCTAAATTCAATTTTCACAGCAAGTCCCCAGGAACTCAAAGCATGTCTCTGCCCTTTGGTTGGGCTTCTTTCTTCTTGTTTTGAGACAGCCAAGGAAGTGAAGGAGAAGGGCAGGTGCCTTAGCCCAGGTGCTAAGAGCCCATGACCAATCTTGCCAGTTTATCAGCGCTACTGCTTCCTGAGCAGACAGGAGCAAAGATTAAGTGAGGAGGCTAGAAGCTGAGGGGCAGAGGCCTGGCGTGACAGGGGCGGGGTAGAGGGTCACCCTCTAGTCCAGCCAGGCTCCCGAGGGGCTGGGCTCCAAGTGACCCTTTTACAATTCTTTATGATTCCATTAGTTGGCAACCTTTTTGGAAAAAAACCTATGGCCAGGCTGCCCATCAAGGAGAGATCTGAAGGATCTCCTTTTCCTCTCCCCTCTTCTCTACTTTCTTCCTGTCTGTCTCTCCCTCTCCTCTCTGTGTGTCTGATTACCTCTCTTCCCCTCGCCCCCTTCCTCTCTTTCCCTTCTCCCCTTCCCCGGCCTTCTGCACCCATAGCTTTACTGATAGTCACATAGGCTGAGCTGAGGAACAAACAAACAAATGGGGTCAGGTCAGGATGTAGATGAGAAGAGGTCTTTCTGAGCCCTGATATCTGTGGGTGTGGGGGGAGGTGGGGAGCAGAGCTCATCACCCAGAGGTGACTGGGTCCATTTTGTTTGATAGCTCATCACAGCCTGCAGGCGTGGAGGCAGGTATTGCAGCAAGCGTCTCCCTTCAAAATAGTTTAAAGCTAGGCCAGATGGCCAAACCCAAGGGCCACCGGGGATCAGAGGAAGCCTAGCTTCCTGGGGGGTCAAAACCAGCAATACAGGAGCTTGCGAGCCCCTTAGCTTCTGCTCTGCTTTCTCTTTGACCACCATTCAAGGGTGAAATATAGCCACGGAGTCTCATGCAGCCAACTGGCCAGGAATCCCAAGGGAACGTTGGTCCATTGGTCCTTTTAACTGGAGGCAGTTGGGAGAAAGGGCTGGGGAATCCCTGAGCACTGGAGCGGCAGGGATCCTTTTCCATGCCCTATAAAAATGACCATGAATTCCTCCAGACCTGGGACTACTCCGGGAAGGCTGGGAGGGACAGGAGAGGGAACGTCTCTTGCTTCTTTGCCTTTCCTGGGTCTCCCCATTTGTTCCCAAATCCCAGCATGGCCACTTCAGAAATCTGCTTGTCTGCTGCCCCTCCCCCCTTCACACCCCCCCCCCCCACCCCCCTGTCCCGCTGCCTCAGAGCTACAGCCAATTGAGCAAACGTGATGTGGCCCAGAAGCAAAGGCAGTGTTGTTGCTGCCTGGCCACAAGTCATCTTCCTGCAGCATTTGTTTTTGGACACCTCATCCTTGATGTTCTTACCTTGAAGTTATCAACTCCGATGGCGGCCAAGCCCAGAACCGCCGTCAGAACGAACAGTCAGCGTTCCCAATGAGGCACACGCTAGAGACAGTCACCTAGAGAATGGCCAGAGCCCCAAACTCCTGGGTTCTGGCAGGGCTTAAACACATGGTGGCAGAGCCTGAGACAAGTGCTCGGAATCCCACTTTCAGGCTGCCCACACAGCCCAGAAACTTCCAGAATGTGGCCAGCTATGGACAAGGCTGCCAATTTTCTCGGGCCCTTCCTGACTTGTGTCTGCAGAAGAGAGTAAGGGAGTGCAGTGTTTCTTTGAATAAGGCTGTGGAGAAACCCTGGACAAACTGGCCCACCTGAATGAGGGATAGACAGACAGTTTCAGCATCACAGAGTCTATCTCCCTAGTGTGTTTAGAGCAGAGATCTGCTGAAAAATGGGGCCCAGGAAGTTCGTTTGCCTCGGGCCCCCAACCCTATTCCCTAGGCCCAGGATTGTGGAGTCACTGACTGGACTATATGCCCTGAACTCCCAAGAGCTTATCTGCCATCCCACCAAGGTGGTGGCCAAGTAGCGAACCCTGCTCTAACCTACCTCTTGTATTGCCCACAAGGCCACCAGCCACTGCTAGACCCAGCTTGTTTGCTGCTTAGCTCCTTAGCTCCCTGACAGCTGTGTGAGGGAGATAGGGTCCATACCTTGAAGGTATGAGAGGGAGAAAAAAATCCAGGTGATAGCGTCCAAGCCAATTCCATCGGCATGTACTGAGCCTCTGCTGTGTGCCTACCACTGTATCAGGGACCACAAAGCATAGAAGAAAAGAGCCCCTTCATTCTCTCCTTGAAGAGTCAAATCATTTGGGGGATTATTTTGAACGTGTCCTCATTCGTCAGGCAAAGCTCGGGCTATTGAGCCATCCTAAGGCCCAAGAAACCTCTATAAACTTACTGCTGCTGCTATTGCCACTGCTGCCCGCCAGCACCTCTTACCAACTTGCCCTGATTCCTTCTTTGAATCTGCCTGTGCTTCGCTTAGAATTTTTCTCTCTTCCTCTGTATGTCTCTGCACGTGTTGCTCTTGGCCTCTTCTCTCTGTTCTTCTCAATAAGTTGGTCATTTGTCATTCTCCTTTTTGCTAGTGGACAAATGGGGCCCTGAGGAAGTGGCTTCTTGGCTGGACGCACTTGGTTTAGGGGAGTACAAAGACATTTTTACCCGCCATGAAATCCAGGGCTCAGAGCTGATCCTGCTGGAGAGACGAGACTTGAAGGTATTCAAAATGCCCCTCTTTTCCAGAAATGGTGGCTGCCTCATTGGCATCCATGCTGCCTACAAGTGGCATGGCCCTGGCATGACCCCCTGGCCAGGCTGGCCTTGCTTTTGCCCTTTCTTCCTCGCCGAGATTTGATAAGAACAAAGACTCCTTGGCATCAGCCTTTTGGCTCTGTCATGGAAAGGGAAAAGTGAGGCATAGAGGACCTGGGGACCCAGAGACTCATCCCAAGCAAAGGCCTTTGTCCTCTGGGGGAGGGAGGGGGGCCACACACAGGGCTTCTGGTCCATTCTTATTGTCAGCAACTTTACTTCATACTCAAGGAGTTTTTCCTTGAATCTTGTCCTCTTGTTCTTACGATGCTTTGTAGTGAGCTCTGAATTTCCATCTGCTTTTACCTGCTACGCATTTACCGGGGTGGTCTCACTCATACCACTCTTGGCCTCACTCTGCCCATGAAACATTTCTCACCCAAGGATCTTAAACATACTCTCTAGTGGCAAATACAGATGAGGAAACCAAGGGACCAGGTGGAGCCCCCAAGTCAGTGAACAAGGCTAAGCCCTTTCTATGAGCTGCGGGATTCTCCTCCCACGAGGCAAAGGCATGAGAATATAATGGGAGCCTTGACCTTAAAAACTCAGATGTGAGGCAGAGCCTCAAACAGAAGTATGTGTGGCTTGGAGGGCATACTTGTTCTGTGCCCACTGACAGACAAACTGCTGGCCTCACAAGCAGCCTGGCACAGATGGCTCCACAGAACTGAGGCCTGCCCCAGGCCCGAGATGACATGGAGCCTGGGACTGAGCTGAGCCAGCCTTCCTTCCAGGTACAGTACAAGAAAGACAAGGACGGCTGATCCAAAGACCGTTGTCCCTCTCCTGCCGCCCCCAAGGACTCCTCCATAGCTCCCTACCTCACCCCCTGCCCCAGAACTGACAACAGCCACCTCTCCCTCTGACTCTTCAGTACAGCACTGGTGGTAGATGGAGTGAACGCTGGGCATGCCATGGTGTGGCATAGAGGACCCCTTTCTAGCATGCAGCATACATCTGAGAGCTCAGCCTGAAAAGGCTTTGTCCCAGGCACTTTGATCACCATCCTCTGATGGTTCAGCTGCTACCAACCAGGGTTTGGCATGTGGGGGAAGCCACAAGCTCATCGGTGCCCTTACTCTCTCATTTTCCTCTTCTCTGGTCCAAGTGATTGGGTAGCTGTCAACAAGCTAACTTCTTTTTTCTCCCATAAAGGATTTAGGAATCCGAAAGGTTGGTCACACGAAGAAGATCCTTCAAGGTATTAAAGACATTAGCCACAACCTATGAAATGCTGAAGGGAGAGAGCCCTACGGCTTGGAACTCGTGACACAAAGCCACTTCGTGGTGGATTGACAATGACAACCACGCAGATGACCACAATGACAACAACAATGACTCTAACCCTATATATAATTATTTCAGAACAGACACGGACCCTCGGTAGGGCTGTCAGACGATGCTTTTCACTAATGTGACGTTCTCAACTTTATCAGGTTTCCTTAGAGGTTTACATTTCCACATTGGCCAAAGATCGTTGAATGGAGTTGTTCTTCAGTTCTCCCTCTCTGTGCTTCTTGACTGGCTCTGGTTACATGAGTTAAGCTTCTGTATATGCCTGGGATCTAGAAGAATGGCCTTCTATGGGTGCTTTGGAGAGAGTGCTTTCCCTGATGGGTCAGGGTCACCTGGCTGATTTTGGGATTCTGAAATGTCTCTGGCCTTCCCTTTGGAGCTGGTTTGCTAAAAGAAGGTGGGAGGAGAGGCTCTGTGCCATGGAGGATGGGAACTAGGTCCTAGGGGCTTCTCTCCTAGCCTTAATTACGTGGCTGCATCCTTTATTATCCCTGAGTTGAGCCCCCATCAGTGGCCTAAGCTTCATTGTGCTACCTTGACGACCCTTCCCCCCCAGGCTCATCATGCATGTCAAAAACTATGCCTTTCAGACTCTCTGCAAGTAGTCTATGCTGCCTGTGTGTGTGTATATGCGTGTGTGTGTGTGTGTGTGTGTGTGTGTATGCTTGGCAGGGAGTGGGGTGGGTGGGAGGGGAAATGGGGAGTATGTGTGTATGTCAGTGTCTGCGGGCATGCTTGTGAATAGGTTTGATCAGGTACCTCATGGGCCACCTAAGTGGCCAGTCCTGATTGCAGGTGAATGGCCCACTCTGCCCACTGCTGCTCATCACTAGTAACTTGATGGAGTCTCCAGAAACCGTCAGAACCCCCGCTGCCTTGACCCAAGCTTGCATGCCGTCTGCCAGTGCTTTGCTTGCATTCTGGCTGGCTTTTCGAGCCAAAAGAGTCATTCACCCTTGTGCTGCTGTGTAAATTATGGAAAGATAGCGAGATAGCTAGATGGAGAGATGTATATATTTTTTTAAGAACTGAACACACAACTCGGTTTCTAAGGCTCCTGATAAAGTTCTTCTGTAACTTACTGCCGTGCCCAGGAACCTCAGACTTCTGGGCATCCCCATCAGTGTTCCTGCTTCTGACACAGCTGCAGTGTCTGATTCATCCTTGTGGAGCCTTCAAAGCCACCGCTGGGACCGATGTCCAGGCCACTTCTGTTCCATTCTCCTAATTCTAAGCCAGGCCCTGGACAAGGGAGCAGAAAAGTCAAAGCTATTTGTGCTGGACTGTACGTCAATTCAGACCTGCTCCCTCCCCTTTCCCCCTTCCCTTCCTCCTCCCCCCTCCCCTTTCCTTCCCTTCCTCCTCACACCTCCTCCCCTCTCCCCACTCCTCCTCAGTCCTCCTCTTCCCCTTCCTTCTCCCCTCCCATTTTGTCCCTTCCCTCCCCTTTCCTTCCTTTCTGCTCCTTCTCCCCTCCCCACCCCTCTCCAACCAACAGGCCTTGAAGTCTAGGATCCAGGAGCCCTCATGGGTCTCTCTACCCTCAAGGCTAGGTTAGACCAATAGCCCAGGGACCACCCAGGGCAGCCAGTCCTGAATTTCCCGGACAAACTGTCAGGACGGTCCCAGACTCACCTGAGAGTTGCCAGGCTGTTTCCCTCTTGGTGGTACTAGGCTGGTAGAGCTGGCCTTCACAGCAGAGAGACGCTGTCAGAGCAGTGTCTCTGCAGCCCAGGGTGTTGCTGCCTTGGAGTTTGAGGTCGCACAGCAACAACAAGTGACCCAGAACCTCCTTGAGTGGAGCACCTCTCTACCTTCTAATGAAAAACAAAACCAAAACACAAATCCCAGTTGTTCCCAACCCTAAATTTGCTTGGGATTTTGTTGTTTGGAAGGCCTGTTGCGAAGCAGGCAAATCTGGCCAGGCCCTAGCATCTAGAGGGGAGATGCCCCAGGGCCCTATGAGCCAAGCCCTAGATCTTCCACGGACAAATCTCTCTCCTCTCTACCCCCAAACCAATCAAGCCCTTTGGCTGGGAGCTAGAAAGATGGCCTCTTCACACTTTAAGACAAAGGCAGAGCTCTTCCCTGGGTCTCTCCTGTGGCTGGATCATTGGGGTACATCAGATCAATCCCGGTCCTGGACACTTTGCCAACCTGAAAATGGGGAGCTCAAAACAGCAAACAGGGAAAAAAAATCCCTCATGCTGTCTTGTCTAATTGTGATGCCAAAAAATAGCTCTAGCCATAAATCTAAAGAAGAAAGTACTGTAAATAGATGAAAGAAAATATTTAAAATTTTATTTAAGCATCTACAGCATTAATTTATTTGTCCCCGGGGATGAGCCATCTCGGAGACTTTTGCTTTGACTGCCCCCCCCCTCTTCTAGGCTCCTCTGGGGCTAAAAGCCCTTTCCCTTTATCAACGCCCCTACCTCCAGGGCCAAGTCGTCCCTGTGTCCCCCTGCATGGACACGGGTACATGCATATATGCACCCGTGTCCGTGCATGCACAGGCACACACATGGAGAGGCCAGTAGGCTGGGGCCGCCGTTGATCTTGGGAGTCTAGGCAGAGTTGGGATTCTTCTGTTGCGTCCCCCCCCCCAGTGGTGGCCAAACTGAATGTAGCCCTTTTTAATTTTGTTCAGACTGCTAATATAGATGCTAGCTCTGTGCTGTGCTGTTGCTGATCTGGCCAGTGTCCACATCCCCAAACCCTTGGCCCTCCAGAATCCTCTTCTCTTCCTCCCCTGAGTCAAAATGGAGCTGGCCTGGCTATAGGCCAAGCATGGAGTGGGGATCACCGTTGATGGGGAAGAAGGGGGAAGGAGGGTCTGAGCAGGTGCTGCTTGCTAGCTCAGTTTCAATTGCCTTTCCCTCCTGCCCTGATGCCCAGCCAGCCCTCCAAGCAGGCTCAGGGTGCCAAGGAAAGGAACCTGCTGAGCACCCGCTCTGCCTGGACCAGCCTAGTGCTTGGAACAAAGCAAGATCAGCTCCCTCCTTCACAGGGGCTGCCGTTGGGCCCCAGGAGTGATTTAGCCCCCCAGGGGCCTCGCTGAAGCAGTGCTGTAATATAGTTGCTTGGGCAATGGGAACAGGCCCTCACCATCCATCTCCATTCTCCTTCACCTTCAGAGATGTCATTTCAGGCAAATAAGGGGTGGGTTGCTTCTTGGGGTGATTGTTCCTATGTAGTCTTGAATGTAATTCCTTGAGCTGCTCTCAGCAATGTGGAAGGACAGATGGCCTTGATCTATCTTGTAGGATGGGGTTTGGGGGGGGGTGTCATCCACAGATGACTGAAACTTGCAAAGGCCCAACTTTTCTCTAAGCTAATGGTGTTCCAGAAGCCCCATTTGTGTAGGAAAAAAAGGGATTGGGCAGGGATTGAAGAGTTGAGGGCTTACGTATTGTTCCCTCTTGGTTTTGTTACAAGTTCTGTCATTAGATATGGGGGTCAGTAAATGGTAAGAGCACAGACCAAGGAGAAAGGATTGACCTTTTCAAGCTCAAGGCTATGAAAAGCCTCTGCAGAGGGTCTCTAGCTGTACCTCTGAGCCCTGGGATCTCCAGGTCAGGACAACAATGGCAGCCATGGCAGCTGCAGGCTTCCTGCATCAGTAAGCTTAGAAGGGGCAGGGCCATATGCCAGCCTTGTCGTTGTTGGCTACCCCATGGTACATAGGAAGAAGTCAAGTTAGGAAAAACAATGATCAGAAATATGAAACAGAATGGAACTGGACTGTAACCACCTGCCTACCCCAATCTGTGTCCTTCCCTAAGAACTGCTGTGCTTAATGTACTCGGTAAAATTGCGATAGTTCCTGTTATTTGTCTACTGACCTGTAATCTCCTGTTGGTTTCCATTGTTTGCGGGGTTTTTGTTTGTTTGCTTGTTTGTTTTCAAAGGCTCCTGTTCAGCAGCAGAGCCCGGACTGGAGGAAGGAAGCTGGATGGTGAAGTGGCGAAGAGAATACCAAAAGCAAAATAAAAATATGTCCACAAATCCGCACCAGCCCTTCCTCCCCAATGTAACATCAGTCCAGAGTTTAAACAAAGTTGCGCTTGTGTTTCAGGCCACTAATAAATGGTTGAATGTACAGTCTCAGGCTCCCTGCAAGTTATTTCAGGGGCAGTCAATCATGAATTCCAAGCTCCTGCAGATGAACAAGGCAAGCTATCTCTTCTCCAGACCTTGGCCTATTGAGTATGATGCCTGGTGCTCCCCATCGCTGCTGTACCCAGGGATACTCTGGGGGAAAAAAATTCATTCTAAGTGGAGACTACTTTGTAAAAATTACTTACAAGTATTATTAATGCCTTTTGGCTTTAGATACTGCCATTTCTGGACATATACCACCATCTAATGAAAATGTCCTTGTCATAAGGAAAAACCCCGATACAGTGACTGTCTGCCACATTCTGCACCTGTAGCCCCCCCCGCAAATTCCCTCCCACTAGCTTGCACCTCCCCCTCTTCTGTTCTCCTGAGCCCAGAATAACCATTGTACTTACTCAGTTCAGCTTCCTTGTCATATTCTTTTCTTTCACATTGTTGCATCTTCAGTTTATAGATGTGGGGTTTTTTACACATAGTGAATTGTTGGGTTTTGCTTTCTTATCCATTATGTCACTCTCTTTCCATGGGATCACAGAAATCATTAGAATTGGCATCTTCTTACTTCCTACCCTTACCATTACTGAGCCCTCAATGAAAATCAGTATATCCTATCGTCCTGTCTCTGAATCTACATGGAGCCCCCGGAAGCCCCTCCCTCCCTTTTTTTTGTGATAGGAAGCAGGACCCTTGCTTGGAGGTCATCTCCTAAGGTGTCCATTCCCTGCCAAGGAAGCCTGTCATAAAGCTTCACCCTACCCAGGAACATGCTTCCTGCTATGCTCCATGCCAGGGACAACAGAATTCCATTGCTTTCCCTTCTATAGAACAAGACCAGCTTCCTGTCACCTTCAACATCCTTCCACTGCTCTTAACCAGCTTCCCCAGAGCCCCACCATGCTCTTCAAGAGAGCAAAGAAATCACTATCCCTTCTCTATTTGCACCCAAGCCATGTTGGAATACAACCCCAGATCCCCTCCCAAGTCAGCTGACTTTCTCCTGGGTCATTTCCTCCTCCCTCCTCCATCTAGATTAACTTATAAAGGAATATCATAATTTCTTTCTTCCTTCCCTCAGTTTTGCCTCTTTAAGCTTCCCTTAAATCTTTAGCCCCTGAATTCCACTTTCTTAAAAATTGCTTTTGACTGAGACCTAAATAACCTTGTCTCCTACAAGCATGAGAGAACTGATTTTGCTACTTCGGTAACTAAGTAACAGTTATCAAGAAGAGACTTTCTTGTCCATTTCTAGATTGTTTTTCAGAGTTCCAATTTGTAATTCTTTGTTGAAAATCCAGCTTTTTTCCCTGATTGGGCTCAGCCTGCAGGACATGACTTTGCTGTACTTACCCCTCTCCTTTACATTACAAAGTAGTTACACTCTTCAGGT